GTCTTAGTAGCAGATAAATGTGCCACAGGTAGACGGCCTTTGGGAGTGGTAGAAAGGCTACTCGGTAGTGGTGATGGGTTGGTGAGGACGGTTGAGGTGAGAACAAGTTGTGGCATGTTGGTGCGAGATATTAGAAAACTGTGTCTACTGGAAGGTGCTGAGAGTAGAGAGTCGGAGGATGGAACAATAGATGATTTTCCAACCTACAGCGTCAACCTGAGAAGGGTTGTAGGCGTACTGCTGTAAGTCTTACAATTCTTCAAAGGGTAGCGCATCAATGAGCAGTCTAATGTGCTCGGTGTGTGATTTTGTACATATGTTCATATTGTATATACTGAATTGATATCATCTGTCATCTAGCTGTTGGTAATTCTGTTTGTGTCCGGACATTCTACAACTTACAATGGTCAACCTGTGAAGGTTTGTAGGCGTACTGGTGTAAGTCCTGCAATTCTTCAAAGGAATTCCATCAAGACATAATCGGCGAGGTTGTTTGTACTATTTGTATATACGTGTGGTGTGTCATATGAATTGGTGTATTTTGGATTCATTGTGTTTACTCGTTGTTTTCGTACCTTGTTTTTATTGCATAATTTTGTTAAAATTTTCGTCGTGATTACTTCTGAAGTTGTGTCCACTCTTCTACATCCATGAATGAATTGATTGATGTTAAGGACAGCAGATGGGTCGTATACGCCGGGGAGGCTAGGCTATTGCTGAGAATGAAATGCACACGGAGATAATTGTTAGCTGCGGTCCCACACGCCGGGGAGAAAGAGTGTAAACGACTGAGGCTCGCATGCGTCACCGCTATTAGAACTGAGGCAGAATGAGTGACCAGCGATTGCAGTGGTAATTGGTAGTGAGTAGATACGAGGATGTGCGTAGAGTATCGTGAGGTGGTGCTATGGTCACACTGCATTCTGCAAGAGTCATTCTAGCAAGCGGCGATTGTGTTGCAAGATGTCAAGAGGAGGTCTCTGTCTGGAGGCGCAGGTCGTCATTGATGTGTGAGATTGTGCTGTGGGTATGCTTGTGGTGTGTTGGCTTTTCTGTTTGTTTTCCATTTCAGCTCTGTCCGTGTGACCCAGGTTCTCGCAATGGCATCCAAGTCAACGTGCATTGGTCGTGAAGGAAAAAAGGGTTGGATCCCTTTTTTGCCGGGGAGTGTCAATGGAGTTGAAGATTGAACGATCAATTCTTGGTTGTTTGCTTAAAATCAACTTCCCCAATTTTCGCGGAGGCATCAATACGACAGTCATCGTCTCATCGGTCGCTGTTCAGAAAGAAGAGTGAAACATCGTCAGAAGTAATACAATGATTTATTATTGTAATATTTGTTTTCAGACCTTAGTTCGCTTATTCTTTTTATATGTTGGTGTAACAATAAAGAAATATCAAGCGGCAGATCGGTGTTTTGGTTTTTTCATCCGTTATAACTAAGCGTTTCTGAAATCTTCGAAGAACAGAGTGGGCCCGAGCGTAGCGAGAGCTGGGCATTAACGGTTTATGAGACGTGATTGACAGTTACTGAAAAGAAACATGGAGTGGCACTTCAACCCACCATATGTTAGCCATAGAGGTGGGCTATGGGAAAGACTTATAGGAACTATCAGGCGTATTTTAAGCTTCATAATTAAAAACCAGAGTTTGAATGACGAAACGTTGGAGACATTTTTGTGTGAAGCTAGACGAATGCCAAATGACCGGCCGTTATTACCTGTGAGGGACGACGTCAAGGATTTAGATGTATTGACCCCAAATAAATTATTGTTATTGAGAGGTAAACCTGGCATAGAGGACTCAAGCGCGGAACGAATACCTACGAATAAAAGATGGAAACAAGCCAGGCACATGAAAGATATATTTTGGAAATGATGGTTAGACAAGTATGTTCTAACACTGGAGACCAGAGACAAATAGAAGTTGTGAAAAAACTTAAAGGTTGGTGATATAGTCTTAGTAGCAGATAAATGTGCCACAGGTAGATGGCCTTTGGGAGTGGTAGAAAGGCTACTCGGTAGTGGTGATGGGTTGGTGAGGACGGTTGAGGTGAGAACAAGTTGTGGCATGTTGGTGCGAGATATTAGAAAACTGTGTCTACTGGAAGGTGCTGAGAGTAGAGAGTCGGAGAATGAACCACTTGACGATTTTCCTACTGAGGGCGTCAATCTAAGAAAGGTTGTAGGCGTACTGCTGTAAGTCCTACAATTCTTCAAGGGTAGTACTTCGAAGCTCAATCAATCCTACTTGGTGTGATTTTGTACATATTTTCTTGTTGTATATACTGAATTGGTGTCATCTCTCATCTATCTGTTGGTAATTTTGTTTGTGTCCGGACATTCTACCACTTACAATCGTCAACCTGAGAAGTGTTGCAGGAATACTGGTGTAAGCCCTGCAATTCTTCAAAGAAATTACTTCGAGACACGATCGGCGATATCATGTGTATTGTTTGTATATATGTGTGGTGTGTCATGTCCCGTATTTGGAGCATACTTGGCAATATTTTGGTTGATTTACATTTCAGTAATAGTGAAGTGAATTTAGAAGAACTTAAGTCTCTCCCTTTAATGAAAGTGAAATCGTAAATGGGACAAACCATACCTTTGGGATTTGGAAACGTCATGGAATACTTGGGCGAAATTCACCCCTACGTGTCATTTGTTCACCAGTACTATGCGAGTATTGCTTTGTGCTTCGGTGGCTTCCATACCTCGGCACTGACAATTGACATGGTTTGTCATATGATTATGTATGTATCCAAGGTGTTCTTAGCTACCTGTAGTTAGTTGGGGGTCTTGTCCGAGACTATTTTAAAATTCTGAGCCGGTGGCACAGCGGTTAATAATACTAATATATTGTTAGGTACTCGTCGAGTGGTTAATAGTCCTGACGCGAAAAGAGGAAAATCAAAAGACCACCTCGTTCACGATGATACTTGCATTTTCGAGACAAGGAAAATAATGACTGTCCCACAAGTGTGAGAGTGAGAGGGTACGTAATGTACGAAATGTGTGAACAAGTGTCTACAATGCAAAAGTATAGATGAAAATGACTAATACACATGAACCAGTAATATAACATCTTACCATGATTGGATTCTGATTGTTTGTAATGTCATGTGACAAGAAGGTCATACATTGTTTATTTAGTTAATGGACAGACAAAGCATAGTGTGGGTTATAGTGGAATATCGATCAATATACACATAGCAAAATACAACAGACTGTCAAAAACAAAACACATATCATATATATTTCGTGAAAACGGGTAAGTTTGCATAAAATACATCTCATTTCTGCAGGCACGATCAATTATGTTACGAATTGTAGTTGTTAGGACTCTCACTGACCATGCACATGGTCCGGGTTTCGATCCTCTGCCGACACACACCTGATAGCAGTGACCGGCCTGCGAAATTTGGGCTATCGATATCACATACTGAAAATTCCGTGCTTCTACCAAAAGGACTGTTTAGATTCAAGCTATGATCAAAAGATTTATAGAAGGTGCCAAAATGTCATTAGATTTCCTAAATTGTTCGGCTATTACATAACTGTCAAATCTGAATAGTATGGGGCATGTGTGGTTTGAATTTTCTTTGTTCACCTGAATACGCTGACAGGGTTTACTTGGGCTTGCAGCCCTTACTAAGGAGTGTTGAACCGACTTTGTGGGCTCATTGTCGGTTGTTTTGTACACCATGGAGTTCTGTTTAGAAGCGAGTCTTTTAACAACGTCGCCCGACAAATGATCCATAGGGTTCTCTAGTTCCTCAGCACTCTCTCATTCAGTATGGGTTGGTTCAGTCCTCGACTTAAAGAGTTTTAAGAGAGTGATGTTCCCCAGTTCTTTTTATAAGATGGTTTCTGGTACCAGTTCAAGTGGATTTAGTTTCGTCTTGAGATCATTTATTTGTAGCTGCATGTCATTTATGATGCAGATTAAGTTAGAAATCTCTGCCTTTTCTGACAAGATATCTTCCACCTGTATTTCAGGCGTTAGCATGTGCTGGAACCGTTTGTATTGGGTGAACTACTAATAACAATTGATTTAACGGATGGTAATGTGTTACTAGAACAGCTTAAGCTATTTTCTAAATTACTCGCGCTTTTAAGAACAGGCCCTTTGGAGTTTTGGCCTAGTATTATTAGTGGTAATATTGTAGAATGAACTAAATGAATATCGACGAAAACATGTGCAAAACTGTCACCAATTTCAAATTTACCACGTCGTATGGATAAACACACTTATCGACAGCCGTCAATCCGAAAACAACGCATCAGTAATCTTTATTTGATCACACCATAAGTGGGTATTGAGGAACAAAGTAACTGTTGATTATGTGTAGACGTGAATACGCTCTGGACTAATCGTGGAAGAAATCTTCATGGAACTTCATCATAACCGAGTTAAAAGTGCTATGAAATTAGAACAAAGCCAGTGAACAGGAAGCATGTAATCTGGCATCTATCATATATTGCTCACAAAATGGAAAGCCACCTCAGAATTAAAATACCCTGACATAATTTCAGACAAATTGTCACCTGGGGCTGGCAGACCAAGGATTAAAAAAACTAAACTAACCTTGTTCTCGAATCGCTGAACACTATGCAACATTTTCATGGCGATTAAACGAAAGGTGTTTCTCATCTCATATGGAAATTCTCTTGTATGCAGTAGGTGTAAATAGTCGTGTGTAGAGGAATTCCAGCCCGTTAAACTTAAGAGGATGATTTCAGGATTTCATCATGAGCTGACAGTAGTTAGAGAACCATTGGAAAACCAGCCGGGAGTACTGGACAGCCGTTTCGTCCTAGTTTGGGACTCTTCAGCAGTACGCACTCACCGGGATTCGAACCCAGGACCTTCCGGTTACAAGGCGAGCTCGTATACCATTAAGCCACTGGGACCCGATCCAATGGTCCTTGAATATAAACTCAACCTTTTAAAAAACGGTTCACTTTTAATCTCTATGCTAACGATTATGACAGGTAATCCGAGAGGAAGTAGTTACAGTACACAGCCAGTTGTTAATTGTGATGTGATTGCCTTAAAGAGTTTTGGACCGGCCTATGAAACCAACGGCCTCCGAGCAAATCACTGGTTAATTCATAGGAAAGACAATACCCAAACCTCACTATATGGCCCCGTGTTTGGAGCATACTTGGCAATATTTTGGTTGATTTACATTTCAGTAATAGTGAAGTGAATTTAGAAGAACTTAAGTCTCTCCCTTTAATGAAAATGAAATCGTAAATGGGACAAACCACACCATTGGGATTTGGAAGCGTCATGGAGTACTAGCGCAGAATTTAAAATTCTCCTTCGTAGGATGAAAAGACATCACAGAGAGGAGTCGTCGTCTCGTGCCAAGAAAGGCCATGCTCCTAGTGTATCTGATGGTGAAGATAATAATGGATACGTCAATTCTTCGAAGAAGCACAAAAGCCCTCCTCGGAAAGCTCTACTTAGGCGGCCTTCACGTGAAGATAGGCCAACAGTGGATAAACATGATCACCATAATTCAAGACAAACTTTCTTGCTGCGTCCTAATCCTTCGAAGTTTGTCGGGGGAAACACAAGCAGTCGATCGTTTAATCCGCTAAGGTAATTTGTATGTGATGTATTGAGTTTACGTGAGTTGTTACGAATGGTCATACATGTTGGTAATGTGAGTCTACCAACTTAAACTTCAGACGCCATTATCCATGCTTCCTACTAATAAATAATTATTTGGTCCATTCATTTCTTCGCCGTTATTTAACTCATTCTAACGGTACCCAAATGTCAGTATCACCGTCACAATGCATAGTACATAAGTTTTTGTCCTAATTGTTGGCCTTAATTTTATCGTTGTTGAACTCATGGTAATCTGATGTATTTCATATGGACAATTCTTCAGCAGATTTTCAGCTGGTGGCAGCTACAACTGTCCTATCGTTTACTCTTCAGCACATTGGATAATGCTAATCCTTATGTAAATTACAAACATCATTGCTCAAATTGTCCCTGTTTCTTCAATGAATAAAGAAGAGCAACAAATTATGCTGCACACATTTAATTTATGGGAGAGAATGTCATTTTTCTATTACAGGTTATTTGTTTCTGAAAGCAAACGGGACATTCGTTTACGACATTGAATCTAATTCAATTTGCTGACACAAATATGGTGATTAAATACGCCCGACGAGCCATAGGTCGGGTTTTGCTCATAAAAAGCATGAAGTTTTGGTCTCGGAAACGCATCTTTCATTCTTATGAAATCAAATTTTCCTAATGAGGTCGCTCATGCAGAAAATCGTATTAATCATGCAAACTTTCGTTCCTACGATGTCCCACCTGAGATGTTTGTTCTTCAGTCATCCCAAGTGTTCATCAGGTTTGGCCTTAGGCATGTATGCTCTCTGATTTGAAATCACCATCTAATGTCCACTTGCCGCTCATCCGGTTTAGTTAACAAGTAATTTTATTGCAGCTTTAGCGAAGAATAAATAAAATGTTTCTCAGCAAACTAATTTTGTGTACATATTGAAAAAAAGTATTAAGATAAACACTAATGCTGTGAAATGACCGAAGGAAGAGCTTTAAGAAGGATCTCTATCTCAAAAGTTAAAACATTTGGAGAATTATATGATTGGCCATTTCAGTAAGTTGTTCGTTTATGGTAAAATTTGTAATTTGTTCAATAAGCAATTAATTGACACGTTTGTCCGAAAACGTATGTAAGTATCTAAATGGGGATATCACACAAACATCAGTATATAGTTGGCTTGTTTTGAATTCTCTATATCTGGAAGTCTGGTGCACGTAAGTTTTACCATTTCCTTTTTAGAACGCATTTGTTTCGTTGATGTTTTCCTCAGCATAGTGTTTGACACAGTGCAACTAAAGCTCATACTACTAGTCAGTACCTATTATCCAGTGCTTAGTATTTGGAGGTGCCGCTCACCGGCTTCAGCACTCGACTCCCAACCTGTCTCCCGGGTGTGAATGCACCTACTTCAAACCAGGAAGTTAGACAATATCATCATCGTATACTCAACATATGTGGTTCACAGCTTTATGCTTGAAAAATTATTTTAATCCTGGTTTGGTAACCAAGTATACTAAGCAGTGCCATCTTCTACCCTCCCTACATTTGTAATACTTCCGATGTATTAAACTGAGTTCCAGATAAGCTTTGCAAAGAAATTTAAAGGAACCCGTCTAAAATTCGTTCCATAATTGTTACTACTGGTACTGCTTTGGCGCATGACCTTATTGAACCGTTGTCTAATTAGTAAAAAATTGTGTTGAAACAACAGAAGTTGTCAATGAGAATAAAACTTGTGCACTGTGTTAGAGTATAATTCCAATATGGATAGTATTTATTTTGATAAAGCCTCACAATGTTATACAGTAATATTAGTTGATAACGTTTCGAGCACAACTCATTGCTCATAATCATATCAAGTTGACTATGATTATTAGCAATAAGTTGTGCTCGAAACGTCACCAGTAAATATTACTGTATGACATTGTAAGACTATCAAAATAAATTTCATCCACGATGGAAGACTTATCAATATCAGCAACTGTTAAAAACTTGATAAAAATCCGAGACGGGCCGTTGTATTTTCAACTTATCGAGACTTACAACCACAGTGTTGCATGATAGTCATTTGTGTGGTGATAGCGAATAAGGGTGGCTCATATTTTGACCATACCGAACTAATTGTTTTATTCCTGTCGGGTTGCATTAATGGGTTGTACTTCCCATATTGTGAAGTTTCATCTATCTTATTCATTTCAAGACTTATTTCGCAGTCCCGGAGGAACGATATGAGATTACTTTAACGAAAACTCATTTTTTCTGCAGCTCTTCAGTTACCCTGAGATCTTTGGCGTCATAAGTAGGCCTCGTATCTAATAATACCATGTTGTGTCGCCCTATTTTCCGTTAGGTTTATACGTACGGAACTGTATTGTAAGATATTTAAAAATTATTTGAGAAAAGATTTATTCTGTTTTCACTCATATATATATATATATATATTTATAAGGCCTCTGCCTTTTCCACGTATATGATGTTTCTTGAGTTTTTAGCATTTGCTTTTTGCATGAAAATCATATGAAGTAGCGGTTTTGTAGATTGCTTCATGCTGTTATCGTAGGTAATTTCAGTATTATAGCAATCTGAAATATTCGAGCGACTTCCTTGATTAATACATGAGCTTGTCTTGCATGAGGTAGCTTAACACACCACCGGCCGATGCACTGTTTTTGTTCTCAGGCTTCTAGGTGTATGTATTCCTGTTGTAAGAGGTTAAAGCGAATAGGGTATACTTCACTGTGCTACTACGTTTAAATGTTCATTTCTTCTGCATTGTTTTTCAAATTGTGATAACTCAATGTGATCTACATGTCTGCAGAATACTGTACTGGTTAGTTAGTCATTTATTTTTTACTGAATATAGTCCAAAGTGTTTATGTTTTGTCCCAAAATTCGCCGAATTATATTTATGTAAAAATGTGATTTTTCTAGAAAGAAGGACTCCTTTCGCGTGATTTTGTCTCAATCATCCTATTTTCTGGTTTTTGGTTTATTCATCTACTAACTGAGTTTAAAAGTTCTAGACTAATTTTCTTTTACTATGCTCAATGTGTTGAATAATTTTTTTTCACCTTCCACTGTCTACTAATTTTACTGGCAAACTCCGTTGAGTGAATATAAATACATGGTTTTTAAATAATAATACTGTCTCAAAAGTACAGACTGCTATTTTGAAAAAAGTGTTACAACAGGTTATGTTGTCTGCATATAAGCTGACTTGTAAAATACGTTATGTTAACCATCCATCTGCGGTCTGAGGGTGTAAAGAGGTGAAGAGTATATAAAGATTGTTATTCTACACTCATGTGCTGTGATATATAATAACAATTTTACGTTTACAATTTTTACGTTTCATATATAGTCCTTTTTGACGTTTTAAGTATGCATATCTAAAAAAGAGAGTACTTGATAAAAATAACATACACGAGAATTTTCGAAAACAAATCTTAAATAGTCTCTCATTCATTTTTCAACTTTTTTTGTGCACCATTTTAGTGGTCATCCAAGTTCAAGAAAATCGTATGCTCCATCATCACGAATGTCCAGTCACTCATCCAGATCTTTAATTCATCCTTCTGGTCGAGTTAATCCTATGTTGGCGGCAAGTTTAGCATCATCGGGCAAACTGCCTAACCTTCCGTTACCGACCGGTTCTAGCGGTGGTTCTGCTGCAACAGTCGCAGCGGTTGCAGCCGCCGCAATGAATGCTGCCGCGATGGCTGCAGCCTTAGGTGCCGGGGGAGTTATATCTAGCAAACAGATGTCTCATATTACCAAAGCATTAGCGTCTGCAACTCGAACAAGTCGTGATCGTCGTCATGATTCAACGTCCAATAGACCAGTTCGTCGTTCACCGGATAGATTTATAAATGATGATTCAAGAAGCAGTCGAAAACCTAGAGGTGGTAGTAAAGAAAAAGACCTGGTTAGCATTTTTAACGCCCGTTATGCTCGTCCAGTGGAACATCGCAATCCTGAAGATGATCCTCATGCAACAAGAACATTGTTTCTGGGTAATTTACCGCCAGATGTTGAAGAGCCTGAATTAAGAAAACTTTTCGAACGTTATGGCATCATTGAAGATATTGATATTAAGCGCCGCGAATTAGAGAATGGAGCAACTGCGTTTGCTTTTGTCCGGTATCTTAGTTTAGATATGGCACATCGTGCAAAAGTTAATTTATCTGGTCAAATGATTGGTGAATACAGGTTCAAGATTGGTTATGGGAAAGTTATACCCACAAGATGCCTATGGGTTGGTGGTTTGGGTCCATGGACAAACTATCCTGAATTTGCAACCCTTGTTAACAGCATTAGTTCACCTGAGAAAATTATATGGCCATCTGGCAAAAATTATGCTCATATCCTTTATTCCAACAGTGAATTGGCTGCTGTTGCCGCTGACCTTTTACGTGGATATCCATTAGGAAGTAGTCACAGACGAATCAGAGTAGACTTTACTGATGAATCGCATATGTTTAAAGATCCTAATTGGAAACGTCTAAAGAGAGATTCTTCAACAGAGTCTAATTCAAGACATTATTCGTCAAGAAGATCGCTAACACCTCGAACAAGACGGGATACTTCTCATTCAGATAATGCCTACTCCCATGGAAACAATCATTCAAAGTACAGACGTGATCGAAGATCATATGATGAAAGTGATCGCAGCCGTTCTGTCTCATCATCCCATCATAAGAGGGAATCTCTTCATAGGTCCCGGAAAGCCACATACGAAAGAACGTCTAGGCGTAATCAGCGGGATCACTCCGTGACTCCTGAAGCTGATTCGTCTCGTAATGGGTCACGTTCCCGTTCGTCGTCGAGATCTCGAGAGGGTTCATCATCTCCCTCTACCCCACCGACTTTAGATACATCTACTAATATTGGACAACTAGCATCTTGCCTCCCGAAAGCCTGGGTCGGGGCCTTCTACTTGAAATCGAGCAGTTTTCAGTGCCGCATGCATGTTTTAAGGGGTGATAAAAGCCTTGTTGATCAATTTATGTACCGTGGTTTGAATTCAGAAGCATCTGCAGACCAGAATGATAATCGACGGACAACTAAGAAATCGAACAAAGATAAGCATACATCAGTAGATGAGATTGACTCAAGTGAATCTCATGACGGCGCGCATGATAGCAATGAGAGTGATTATGCAAGCAAGGACAAAGTTGTCTGTTTACGAATTACCCAAAGAATGAGACTTGACCCCGTAAAACTAGACGATGTGAACCAGCGTGTTGAAGCAGTCGGTCCTTCTGGCTACTGCATACTTTTAGCCGTCCCAACACGTTCTGTACGCTGTCATGAGAATGAGAAACAGCCTCAGAGACCCCTACGGAATTTGGTCGGATACCTACGAACAAAAGATTCTGCTGGAGTAGTACTTTTGAATTCTACAGGTCAAAATCAGAACAATGATTCTGCGTCTCCTTCGACTACAGAAGCTACAAACACATCTGGAGTATTATATGCATTTCCACCTTGCGATTTCTCTTTAAGTCTTCTACATGAAAGTGCTCCACGACTAGAAAAAGACTATGGTAAAGATGATCATTTAGTTATATTACTCATTCGTGGGACTGGTGTTGTGTAACCTACTGTTTAATTAAAAAAACTCTACATTCTTTCAACTGAATCACACCCTACAAACTTTGTTGACTGATTGAATGTGTGTGTATGCATAAGACATTTCTAGTAGGTCAATCAGTGCACATGAGTACCGCGGTCATCCTTACCAATGTAAGAAAATCAACCTTTTTCTTTGCATCTAGTGTTAAATTTTTTTCGAATATTTCATACTTCACATTCTTTCAGAAAGCATTTAAAAAAGGGCTTGTTTGTTTCTGTGCGTTATTTTCTTTCCTTTGTTTGTTTTTTGTCTGAAAAACGCCACAAGACTTGTGAAATTGAATTAAAATACAATATTTATTCTGTAATATTTTGTTATAAAAAAGTTAATTATTGTGTACGTGAAATTTACACATAATGCGTATTAGTGTACAGATATAGAGTGTTAGGTTGTATTTATTTCGTTATTAGTTCAGAGTTTATAAATTGCTGATTCCTTCGACAAAAGGTGAGTTTCGAGATTATTATCATGATCATCAAGTAGGTAGGCAGGTCGGCCGGATGACGATTCGATTAGTTGTTTTCCTTAGTACAGAATAATGCATAGAAGACTCCTTTCGATTGTTTCAATTGGTTAAATGTACCATTTTCAATCACCTTGCCATTGGCTAATACTAAGATGTCATCGACTTGTGCTGTTGTAAGTAGTCTATGAGTTACTGTTATGTATGTACAATCATAAGGTAGACTAGCTAGTGTATTTTGAATGGATTGTTCATTTTGTAAGTCAAGTGCAGATGTGATTTCATCCAACAATAACAGTTTTGGTTTACGCACAAGACAGCGTGCTATTGCAATTCTTTGTCGTTGGCCAGTGGATATATGTGTTCCACGAGGACCAGCTAGTGTATTGTAACCCTGCAAGGGAAAGAAATATACAATAATTGCTATTATTATTATTATGATTTAAAACTTCATTTTACTTAAACGACATATTTTCTTAAGGCTAATGGTTAATAAATTGAAAGCATATCAACATTTTTCGAGTAAGATGCCACTATGGTGGTCAAAGTGACGTCATAATTTTTAGTTGACAAGTTTTTGTTCTATTTCCTTTGCATTCCTAGTGGCACGTAGGATTTCAAGCTTCAGCTCTAAAGTTCCAGTAGCAGGTGGGATTCTGTCTGTCTCTCTATTTTTGACATAGAACTTTGCACCGATGTGCAGCACTTCAAGTCGCCACACTCCATGTAGCACACAAAGCAAGAGAAAGTAAAAGAAATGCATAATAGAGACAGTAAACAGAAGTGTGAGACTAAGGAATAGTAATAACGAAGAACAAAACAGTTTCATTAGAAATCATAAGTCACAAGGAGTGGATGCATTTGCACCAGGCATTAACAACGATTTCGAGCAATATCAGCAATTGTTTCCAACCTTCATTGGTTTTTACCGTCTCGAGTACCCCAACCAGGAAGTCTACATCTTCCTACGTGGCTGGCGTAAACCAAATGTTGTGGATTTCATTGACTGGTGTGGCCATGTTTTGGCTTGACCACTTCTGGCTCTTCCAACCTATGTTAGCTAACATTGCCCATTGTCGAGGAAGGCGATGACTAGGTATATGTGACACATGTCCTAACCGTCTCAGTCGATGTAGCTTCACAGTCTCGTCGATTGATTTACCCTCCTTACCTAGCACTCGACTGAAGCCTAACCTCAATATTGCTCACCTTATACCTCTTCACACGGGAGATAGAACGCAGGCACCTATGATGAAACACAGCTAGCAAGCGTTTTCATGTCTTGTACTCTCAATGGCCAGGTTTCGCTCGCAGTCATTAAGGATGACGTAGCGGACTGCTTAGCAGTACACCCACCCTTTGGTCGATAGTCAGCCGGATATCACGTCTACGCCAGAGGCGGCGTAAACTGGCATATGTGAAACTAGCCCTCTGTATCCGTACCAAGATTTCGTCAGAGATCAACCCGTTGGCGTTGGCTGATGGTACTTCCCAAATAAGTGAAGCGGTCAACGTGTTCTACCGCTTCACTCCCTATTTCTAAACTAGGAGCCAGTGTAGTCTCTGTCTCTCTGGATTCACCATAGAACATAGCACCGAAGTGCACCAGTTCGAGTTGCCACGTCCCAAATAGCACACAGAGGTAGACAAGAAGATGAGTGAAGAGAATCAGTACAGTCTGACAAGTATAAGAGTGAAACAGAATGGATAATGGTAGAAAGGAATATGAAAGATTACAGAGACTGAATACATCTGCGCCAGTGACAGCGATTTTGAGCTATGTCACCTATTGTCTCCAGCCATTGATTCTTAGAGTCCCGAGGGCCACGACCCGACCTGACTCAGTCAAGGATTTCATGGATTGATGAGGCCATGTTTTTGTTTGGCCACCACTTACTCTTTTCCAACCTGTACCTATATCAGCTAGTAATGCCCGTCGGGGGAGGGGATGGTTAGGCATGCGCAGCACCTACCGACCTAGCCATCTCAATCTATGTAACTTCATAGCCTCGTCGATTGATTTTCCCTCTTTCCCCAACACTACGCCTAACGTCAACATTACTTACCTTATTATACCACCTAACGTGAGAAAGAGATCGTAAACATCTATGATCAAAAACAGTCGACTTTTTTATGTCTTTAACTCGTATTGGCCATGTTTCAGAGCCATAGAGAAGGACGGAGCGAACTCCTGAGCAGTACACACGTACGTTGGTTGATAGTCGGATGTCACGCCTACGCCAGAGATGGCGTAAGTCAGCGAAAGCAGCTCGAGCTTTTTGGATCCGTGCTGAGATTTCGTCGCCAATCAGTCCGTTGGTGCTGATACAACTTCCCAAATAGGTGAAGTGGTCAACATGTTCTATCACTTCACTCCCTATCACTAAGCTAGGATTTGACGTAGTCCAGTCCTGTAGCAGCATCTTACATTTTGCAGGGGCGAATCGCATGCCAAACATACGAAGATTGCTGCTCAAGGTGTTCAGAAGACTCTGCATTTTTTCAGCATCCTCCCCTAACAGGACTATGTCATCTGCATATTCTAAGTCCATAAGACTATTCCCTGGTAACAAGTCGATTCCTAAGTCATTACGTTCAGTTAAGGATACTTCCATTAGCATATCTATGATGAAGTCAAACAGAAATGGGGAAAGTGGACATCCGTGTCGGACACCACTGGTTGTTATCAATTCAGATGACAATTCCCCATAAGCCCTTACACGACTACGTGAGTTTGAATAAAGTGCCTTGATTAGTGCAATGTACTTTCTTGGCACTCCCTTCACAGTCAAACATTGCCATAGTACCTTTCGATCCACGGAGTCGAAGGCCGCCTTCAAGTCAAGAAATATGACAATTGTTGGACGCCGAAAAGTGTGTCTATGTTCTAGAATCTGTCGAAGAGTGAAGATATGATCTATGCACCCTCTACCTGGTCTAAAGCCTGCTTGATTTTCCCTTGTTTGTTCCTCCCAAGTTCTGCTTAGTCTGTGCATGATTACTGAGTCTAGGATTTTAGAAACTATATTCGTTAGGCTGATCCCCCTATGATTATCACATGAGGACTTGTTTCCCTTCTTGAATATCGGTATAATAAGTGACTTACCCTAGTCTGATGGAGCCGTCTCTGATTCCCAGACGTTGCCTAGTATGTCACCCCCATATTCAAACACCTCCGGAATAATTCCGTCGGGTCCTGCCGCTTTGCCTCGTTTCAAATTACGCACCAGAGGTTTTTGTAGAGATCTGGATTTGTTCATCAGTTATAGAGGTCAGTGAAAACCGGGGAGCGCTAGACAGCTAGCTAGCTGTCTCATTCTAGTTTCAGACTCTCCAACGCTGAACACCCACGATGTCGTCAGGGATATCAAACTCACTGGGCATTTTGGTTAAGAGACTGAGCTGGTTGTTTTGACTATTCAGCGGAATTCAAAGACCCGTGTATTCTAACTTTGTCAATCAATGCTTTCGATGACCAACTTCTTGCCAGAGGAGGCCACGACACCCATCCAGTAGGCATCGTTGAATTGGACACTGATATGTAAATGATGGCTGTTTTACAGGAGATTTGAATTAATTTCACGAACATACATATGACATTATGGATTACTTTGAATAATTACCACCTACCTCTGGAAGACTCATGATGAATTCATGAATATTTGCACGACGTGCTGCATTGGTTATTTCATCCATTGTTATAGCTTGTACATTATTATTCCCATAAGCAATATTTTCCATGATAGAAATATTAAATAATTGTGGTTCTTGACTGACGACACCAATTTGTTGACGAATCCATTTCGGTGAAATTGTTCGACTATTAATACCATTGAAAAATATCCCACAACTTGAATTGTCATTTTCATTTTCATAAAGTCGTTGAATTAAGCTTAGTATACTGGTCTTACCAGATCCTGAAAGTCCTATGATAGCTGTCTTTTGACCAGGTTGAAATGTATGTGAAAAGTTCTGTAAGGAATGAAATAATAACATTATTTTTTTAGTATGACCATGCATATGGTCCGGGGTTCGATTCCCGGTCGACCCATTCCTTTACCTCGCTAAGCCGGGAATAGAAAAAAAGCTGGTAAAGAGGAAAGGTTGGTCACGAGGCTAGCAACCCCATCATGTAAAAACTAAACACTGCTACAGAAACTTCTAGCTTGAAGCCCTATGTTCCACTGGGAACGTGAAAGAATAAAAAAAAAACGATGTTTAGTTTTTAATAGTGGATGGTTTTCATTTGCGCTTAACTCCGCAACTGAATTCTACACATTTGTGGAATAATTGAGATTTTCAATTATTGGTTTTGTAGGAATTTTATTTGATAGCATGGAGGATTTCATCATGAACTGACATCAGTTAGAGAACCACTAGAAAACCTAGGAGTACTGGACAGCCGTTTCGTCCTAGCCTGTGATTCTTCGGCAGCACGCACCCACCGACAGAGGGTTCCAACCCAGGACTTTCTGGTTACAAGGTGAGCCCGTAGATCATTGAGCCACTGGAACTCGATCCAATGGTCCTTGAATTCTAACTTCTGCCAATTCACGACATAGCGCGACCATCTCGCAATGTGTTCTTCGATAAGTTACTGCCTCATCTTCAACCCGTTGTTCCCTGGGTTCGAAACCCGGTGGGTGCGTCTTGATGAAAATTCCCAAACTAGAACGAAACAGCTGGCTGTCCAGTACTCCTAGGTTTTCCAGTGGTTCTCTAACTGATGTCAACTCACCATGGAATCCTCCAACCAATCAAACGAAATCCCTACAAAATCGATACTTGAAAAACTCGAAGATCTTCAGGCACAGATCAAACGATTGCCAGTAGAGTCAGATAGCGAAGACAAGACTTCAAGTGAACATTGGAGAAGACAGAGGTGATGAGGATAGCCTGTTTGTTACTAATCATCACAAGAAGCACTAACCATTAACAACGGGGAGAGTCTAAAGGTAGTGGCCTGCTTTACTTGCCTGAACAGCATCGTTTCATAAATACAACACGCGGCACAGATGAGAATCGTGGAAGCAATATGGAGATCCACATCACTCTGAGCACAAGAAATGATGATTCAAATTTTCAACCCTTATATCAAGTCAATGCTTCCGTATAATTCAGAGATTTCGTGCGCACGTTACTGACGGCATTTCCGATAGATTACTACTTCAGACTTCACCAATACCTGTCCTCTCCTGATCATGAACATCAGAAGAACAACAAAGAACACCGACAGTTAACGAACCAGCTAACAACATATTGTTTAAGATATATTGAGAAAGAAGTGGAGATGGGCTGAACATGTGCTGAGGAAACCAGTGAGTGGTAGGCAGCACAGGTCAGGCACTCACGTGGAACCCGAATGGAAGAAAGACAAGTTGAGAGTGTCCCCGAGAATGACGAGGAGATGAAAGCTTATGGGTAAATGTGACACCAGCTAAGGAAGACTGTAGCAGGGAACCAATTGAAACAGCGATGTGCCCAGCGAAGCCCTACATTCCACACTAAACCCAAGGACAGAACTAATTTAGTACTCAGAGAACTGCACAAACAAATAATAATAACGATGACTTTATATACTTTAGCAAGGAGGATACATTACCTTTAAAATCCAAGATTCTGGCCGAGATGGATAACGGAATGAGACTTGTCTAAATTCTATAGGTATACTATTTAAAGGTTGATCAAGGTGTAAACCTTCATTGACGGGTATTTTAGACTTTCGATCCAAAAGTTTAAAAATTCGATCAGCTGCCAGTGAGGCATGTTTCATTTCTGGGCCAATATGTGATGTTCTACCAAGTGCTTGAGCGGCGAAACTGATAGCAGCGAAGACCCTATAAAAAAACATTTAGGGAAACAAAACAAGAACAATAAAGCAAGTGGAAAATGAGGTCAAAGGTCAATCAATGACCAATACAAATCATATTATTGTATATTCTATTTAATTGGGTTCTAAAATAATCGTTTGTTATTGGAAGTACATTTGCTTTTGTGATTTAAAAAACTAAGCATTTCAAATTTGATCCCGGATTGATATCAGTTAGAGAACCAGTGAAAACCAGGTGGTACTGGATATTTATTTTTCTCCCGGGACTCTTCGACTGTAAGCACTCACCGAAAAACGAAATCTTAACCTTCGGTTTTCGAAGTGGGTTTGTTGATCATCCAGCCACTAGGCCGGGAACAAGTTATCCAAATTCTGCCAGTTCACGCCACTGCCACTGCAGGATGCAGTTCTTGCAGTTAGTGTGAAAAATTGTGATCGATGGAATCAACTAAGTCAGATGTGAGGACAAATACTCCCCGATGACTTTAACTGGCAGTCGTACTATAGCGGGAATTGCCACAAAAGTTAGAACTTATGGACCACTGGATTCCGTCGAAGTTGCTCAATGATCAACAGAATCGCTTCGTGAGCTGAAGGTCTCTTGGGTTCGATCCATGGGGGTGGGTAGTCCATAGATGAATACTGACGAAGAGTCCCCCAAAAAGGAACGAAATGACTGTTCACTACTTCCTGGTTTTCAGTGTAACTGAAGTAAAAATTCATGATCAATCTTTGAAACAATCAAATCCTTTCAAACCAATAACTGCAAATCAACTTTATTGTGTTGTAAAACTTTATACGCATCAACTGACAACGATTCAACTTGGAACTCCTGTGCTTTAAGCAACCAGTGTTGGTTGGTTGGATAATTACACGAAGAAATGCAAGTATTGTTAGATGCACCACCAATATTAAGGGAGGGGGAAAGAGATCTTTAATAATACCAAAATACAATGCTGATGATCTGTGTTCATTGTCAAAATATTTAATATATATATATATGTTAACAGCTTTATTCCAAACGGTATTTGGGGTACAGGTATGGAATTCTCAGCGTGCATTACAATATATTGCATCTAATTACCTCATAAATTTTATAAGATTTTAAAAGTAAAAAGCAACGACCAAAAAAAAATAGATAAATAAAAACAACAGCGTAGCGTTTACATATCAAACAATGCACCACAGGATATGAAATACGAAGTTGGTGTATGATAGAAGATGAGAACAACAGTGTAATAGTAACGAGGAAAGGAAAACAAAAACTAATGGGACCATTTGTTAGAGTACCGAAGTAAGTTGATCGTGTCATACCTAACGGATTTCTCATCACATAACAGCTGTGTCAGATATGGTATCGTGGAGTTTTTGTATTTGGTAGTCCTAGCATATAGCCAGCCTCCTATAGCTGCTTCTGGTTCTACCAGATGAAATGCAAGGAGACAGCTGCGTATAGAGGGGATTCTCGGGGTCCGACAATATTGTATTCGCTAGTTTCTTACATGACATAATATGTCTATCTACAATAGTGTTAACCAGTTGGTTTAACGATATCCCACTTGCCCTACTAACGGCTTTTAGTGCCTGCCCTTCTCAGCAAAACAAAGTCTTTCTTAAGTAGTCCAGAAAACATTAATGGGAAGCAGTAAAGAGGGATGGGTAGAATACCAGAATTGACAAACTGAGAAAGCAAAGACTGCTTTATGCCAGACTGCCTAAATTTCCTAATGTAGATAGAATGTTAAGCGAAACATCTTTCTAGTAACTAGCAAGATGTGGGAAGATCGATCCTATCTGTGTAACTACTCACCTATTACTGTCCCCTCCAGGGGAAAAATTTTTTTCTTTTTTTCTTTTAGAGACGAGAAAACTATTAAATAAACCAATTCCAGGAGAGATTTCATCATTAGTCAGCTGTTTATGTTATCGACTGAAACTATTCAGCAGTCGCTGACCTATTTTCCTGTAAGAGATCGAGTTAGGATGATCTGATTTCATTAAAGTTTTCATATTTATTATATTCGATAAAGATGCTGATGAAGTAAGGAAGTCGAATAAATTTCATCATGTAGTCAAGTCCATATCAAAATCCTGTGACGAACAGACAGTTAGCGGGCAGCATGGAAACAGGCATAATATGGACTCACACAAAAAGAGACTTGGAGGATCTGAACTTCGCCGATAATATGTCTGATTTCCCAAAAACTGGAAGTTATGCAAATGTAAAGCAACAAGTTGGCGACAGGAAACGCATCTAAAGAAGATAGAATTTCAGGTGAACATTGAGAAAACAGAGGTGATTCCTGGCCAACGCCAATAGCAACAACAAAAACAACCTCCTTCACCTACCTACCTATCTACCTACCTGGGAAGCATCGTTTCAACTTCAGGTGGACTTATGTGATGAAGATATCAAGGCGGTGATCGGAAAAGCAAGACAAGCCTTCATTACTCTCAAGTATGTGTGGAGGTCAACAGTAATCAGCATGAACAATAAGATCCGGATTTTCAACTCCAATGTAAAGTCAGTGCTACTCAATATACGGATCAGAGATTTGGCGCGTCATAAAGAGCACCTCAAACAAACTACAGACCTTGATCGACAGCTGCCTTCGCCCAATACTCACGATCAGATGGCCAGTCAGAAAGGGTCAACAACAGGGATGTCTGCCAATGAGCAAACCAACCAGGAACCGATTGTGCGAGAAATAAGCAGGAAGAAATGGAGATGGATTGTCCATACTCTGAGGAAACCATCAAGTGAGTGACATCACTAGACAAGCTATCGCTCGAGTGGAACCAGGCAGAAAGGGAAGCGGTGAGTTGGTCGTCAGTTCAAGAGTGACTTCGAGGAGGTCATGTGAAGAGAAGATGAAAGCATGTGGGCACATTGGAGTCAGGTGAAAACTCTAGCAGAGAACTGAACACAATGGAGAAGTGCAGCTGAAGCCCTATGTTCCTCTAGGAATTAAAGGAAACAATAATAATATCAAGATCCGAGATGAACAGAGAATTTCAATTTCACTAGTACAAGAGGTACTAGGTTTCAGCCTTTGCAGTACAGAAATGTCACTGATTCGCCAACTTGTTCTTGAACTGTATGTATAGGAAAAGGTCAAAAAATGCTAACATCCCAGGATTTTTCAAGCTTTTCTAATCTTATTGGATTCCTACGGTGTTCATTTCTTTGGATCTAGAATTCTCATGAGGTTTATCCGATGTAGGCTGTATCATATTATGGGCATTTTATTTTACAGACACGAACTGTGAACACTTTGGAATACGATCATGCACACGAAGATTGTTTTTTTTATTAAGTCTGATTTTTTGGAAAGAACTCTGATGTTTGACGTTTTTCATAAAGCTACAGGAACATTAAGCAGCGAAACATCAATAACAAACAATATCGACTTCTTCATTCATTGGGATATACAAAAATGTTTTATGATAATAAGTATCATATTAAAAATTTTTTTTATTGTATCTTGACTCCACACCGTATTTTTGGTACAGGTATGGCATTTTCAGCTTGTGATATCGGTAGCCCAAATTTAGCCGGGCCGACCATTGGTACCACAGGTGTGCGTCGGCAGGGGATCGAACACCGGACCATGTGCATGGTCAGCGAGCGTCCTAACTGCTATGCGACCAACGCACAAATTCCGCACCCGAGGCCTCCAAATAGCGAGATTACAGGTGCACACCCAGCCATATACCAAATGTCTACACTTTTTCAAACTATTAAATATGAATTTGGTTCGTAGATGAATATCTTATCATGTGCGTCAGTGGCGCAGCGGTTAGGGCGCTCGCCGACCAAGCGCATGGTCCGGGGTTCGATCCCCGGCCACCGACACACTCCTTTACCTCGCTAAGTAAGTAATAAATCTGATAAAGAGGAAAGGTTGGGCTTGAGGCTAGCAACCCCATCCTGTAAAAATAAACACTGCTACAGAAATTTCAAGCCTGTAGCTTGAAATCCTATGTTCCACTGGGAACGTGAAGGAAAGGAAAAAAATCCTATCATGAGTTATAAGTCATTTTGATTTTCCAATGTGATCTTCAATTGCAATATTCAGTTGAAACTAGATTGAAGTCAAGGATACTATTTTGATGATTTCTGTTTTAAGCATTTTCGTTTATTGATAAAGAACAATATTAAGTGGTAAGTAGACAGAAATCAACAACATAATCAATTACATTATTTATATTCCTTAGAGTCTTCACTAAATGGTTACAACAATTATTTTCATGGATTTTAATTCATGTCATCCATTAACTGTTAAAGGCAGGCTTAGTTAAGTATCTAACAAATCGAGCACTAGCACTAAGTAGTACTGTGGTGAGAGCAGCCTGCTAGCCAATTGGTTGACATTAATCTACGTCAATGTCTAGGTCACTAATATGGGCCGTGAGAAAATATGAACAAGGCTGTTTCAACAACCAATCACAGCAAACTTAAACGTGGGCAATTATGATTCGCAAGATAGATGGCTCCACTTTCCGAGGAACTCGAAAACAACCAGTCAGAAGACTGCGTTTGTCTACTTGACTAGGCTATAATAATGCATGTGAAATTTATATAAATACGTGTTGATTTTCGTAATAAAACGATCTGTTGCCTGGCCCTTGTCTTCTGTTGTTACATTACAACAAAAGACCTAAACGATGAAATGATACAGATAGAAGGAGAGGAGTTGGTGTTAAATAACTAACTATCCTATAAAATTCACTAGGAAGGTCCAGAAGAAGTCAAAAGCAAAGTAGAAATAATGGTAAAACGAATAATGATAACATAAATAAGAAAGAATATAAGGCATATACAGTTTTACTATATAGGGAGGGAGGGGACATTCGAGACCATCGTTAAGTAGGATTGTCAATAAAGCAGAAATCAGAATGGCATTTGAACATACGAACTCACTCAGGTAGGATAAGCTTTGTAGGTTAAAGGACTCTACTGTGATGCAATTCGACAAAATAATTCACAAAATACCCTGTCATGATTATGAGGTCAACTATATAGGTGGAACGAGTGGATCGGGAGTAGTCAGATTGTAAGAACATGATTGACTCTGAGAAGATAACTAATTCAGCAGTGCTACTGCATGCATTAAAACACAAGAGAGTGGGATAAAGTTGACATTCTAAAGAGTAATAAAGGTACGTGGAGAGAGACGGTGATTTCTGAATCTTTGTTCGTAGAATCTACGCCCAAACAGGTGCAATAGGAACGACTCATCACTCATACCAGAAATGTGGAGGAGTGATTGAAAACAAATTTATTGGGTTCGATGGCGGGGGGTGGGAGGGGGAGAACTTCCTCTGTACTTCGACGGGTTTGAAGCTCTTAGTCATGTTTGATTTAACGTTCTCAGCTTGTTTGCTCTGCACCGAGGTAACATATTCATCAAACGAGTAGAAGACCTCTGTGATATGTTTCTCTGGAAGTGGAATACACGCGAACTAATAGAATAAACAAGGTTTCTAGTGTAACGTTAGAGAGTTTTGGAATTGGGATATAATGCCTCCAGAGTGCTTTCCAGAATCACTTGGGATATTGATGATTCATAATACAGTTTTCAAAGAAGTTCATTTTTGCATTCATTTTGGCAAGTTTGACAGAGTAACACAGAAATCCATTGAGTTCCTTCATTGTCGGATTTCTCAAATCACGGGAAAATACCCAACGGAACATTACAGAGAGAGAGAAACGAACAAGAAGTTCAGCAAAGATATCTATCTTTTCGGTATTTTTGCTCTCAAGAGCTCTACGATCGCATTTATTGTTATTTGATTCCAAGTAGTAGTAACGAAGGAGGTTAAAGGCCGTGATAATTTTCAACTTAACACCAAAATTTGAAGGTGTGGATATAGATTACAAGGGCTATAGGGGCAAGATTACGCAGGATTAGAAAACAGTTGCAAGACAGGAGAATATGTTGAACCGATAAGAAAACTCTAGAAGATTTAGACATCATGCCCGATTTATAGGATTTTATCATGAGCTGACATTGGTTAGAGCAGCAATGGAAAACCTAGGAGGACTGGGCAGCTGTTTCGTCTTAGGTTTAGGGCTCTTCATCAGTACGCATCCGTCGGTAGCTTAATAGTCTACAAGCTCTCTGGCCTTGTAACTAGAAGGTCCTGGGTTCAAACCCCAGTGGGTGCGTACTGATGAAGAGTCCCAAACTAGGACGAAACAGCGGGCTGTCCAGTACTCTCAGGTTTTCCAATGGTTCTCTCACTAATGTCAGCTCATGATAAAGTCCCGTAACTAATTCATTCACTCACTATTATGTGTATATAACTGCAGAATCTGACGATGATGAAGTTATCAAAGAGAATATTCTTTGTTCAGTAATAATTCTTTAATCTAAAAAAAATTTAATGAGCAATTTTAATCAGTTAAAATGAAAATTAATTAAAAATTCAATATGAATCAACATATTATAATAGCATACCTGAATATCGCTATCAACGTGATCTCTTCAATACTCATTAGATAAGCTCCACATGAAAATGCAGCTGCATATGCGCATATTGGTAATGATTGAGCCAAGGCATAAACAAATGAATAAACTATGAACGTACGATTATCAGCACTTAACCCAGACATACATAAACACGCAGAGATTATTGTCGTTATTATACATGATTTGCATCAGACGGACACAGTAGATAAAAACAAAGAACAGAAACACAAAAACAGTGTTATTAGTTACGATGTCAAGGTTTTAAAAGAGTATATGACAAACACATCAGCTTTATTCAGTCCAGCTATCATCAGATTGCTCGATAATAATAATAATAATAATAATAATAATAATAATAATTATTATTTTTTTTCAAAAAGAATTTTTTATTTAATAAAAAATATTATTTTAATTTCCTTAAATTAAAAAAAAAAAAAATACACAAAAAAATTTTCCCATTTAAAAAAAAGAGAGGGTGAAAAAAAAACAAAAATAAAAAAGAAAAAAAAAAAAAAAATAAAAAAAAGGGGGAAAAAAAAAAAAAAAAAAAAAAAAAAACGTTGGGGTTTTGTACACAATTTTAATGTGGGTTTGAAAAACCAAAAATTTTTTAAAAAAATAAAATAAAATTTTTTTTTTATTAAAATGTGAGGGGGAAAAAAAAAATAAAACCGGCCTGGAGGAAAGTTGGTTGTTTGTATTATTAAAGGAAAAAAAAAAAATAAAAAGAACCAAAAAAAAAAAAAAAAAAAAAAAAAAAAAAATTAAAGGATGTTAAGGAGGGGGGGGGGAAATTTTTTTTTTTTATATAAAAGAAGGGTAGTTTATTTTTTCCTTCACCATTTTTTTTACAAAAAAAAAATGCCAAATATGGTATCATAGAATTCTTATACTTAGACGTGCGAGCATACAGTTTTCTGAAGTTACTCCTTGTTCTACCTGAGGAGATGCAAGGTGAAAGCTGAGGGTAAAGCGGATGCTCCAAGTCAGACAAAATCCCTTTAGCAAATTTATTGCACGAAGTCAAATGCCTATCGACAACGACGTTAACTATGTGGTCCACTGGGACACCACTCACTCTACTGACAGTCTTCAGTATTCTACGAATTGTGACATAGTCTTTTTTAAGCAAACCAGGAAAAAATAAGGGTGAGCAATAAAAAAGAATAGGTAGGATGCAAGAGTTTACGAACTGTAGGATGAGGGGTTGAGTTATACCCGAGTGTCTTAACTTCTTAATGTAAAATGTCAAGCGGAATATTTTACTGGAGATTGCTAAGACATGGGAAGACCAGGAGAGATCAGAAGAGAGAATGAGTCCAAGATACTTAATTTCTGATTTGATTCCTATATCATTGTCGTCAATTTTACAAGTGTCATGAGAATCGATGACTTCTTTTAACTGTCGTTTACATCTTAAGCTGAAATCAACAGTTTGACACTTAGAAGGATTCAGTTTAAGACCGTTAGACTCAGACCATTTGCTGACTTCCGATAGAAAGCTATTTATTTTAGTACAATCTAGCTGGGAGTTAACAGCCATTGAAACCGTTAAATCATCAGCATACTTCACAAAGTTTATTTCATCAGAGTGAGGCAAGTCGTGCAAGAAGAAAGAAAAAAGAAAAGGAGAAAGAACAGCACCTTGAGGGACACCAGCTTCAGTAGGCAATGAAGTGGAGGACTTCCCTTTATATACGGTGTACTGCTTTCTATCTGAGAAATAGGAATGCAACCAGTTAACAGCCCAACATTCTGTTTGACTAGCAGCAAGTTTATTTAATAAGATGTCCCTAGGGACCGAGTCGAAAGCAGATGTATAGTCTAGGAAGGCGCAACGAACAAATTTAGCCCCCTTGTCTAGACTGGAAGCAATGTTATGATATAAGACGGCAGCTGCATCTAAAGTGCTTCTACTGTGCTTATAGATGAAGTAACGAATTTCATGCGTCTAGTCTCCGGTGTTGGTGCAGACAGGATTCTATTAGTCAAGTTTTCAATGTGTTCACCAAGTTAGGTGGCTTCCCTGTGCAAGATTGGATCCAATAGGGTATATGAGTTTCTTTAAGGTTGCAGATACACCATGCTCTTGAGTACTTACTAACAAGCATGAGACCTAGGACCAAGGCTGCTTGCTAACCATCTCCAACTATCTATACATTTATTGTGCTCAAATCACATTCTTTCAAACGAAGACTTTGTCAAACACACACACGCACACACACTGACATGAGTTATTGAAGCTCTGGACAACATGTTTCGGCTTATTTAATTCAATTCTAGATTTTCCTGTCGATTGATTGGAATGAAGTGCTCAGCCTCAGGTTGACATGTCGGCTCCTTGTGTGTGAATGCTTTGACGACGTTTGGTCATGTAACTTGAAGTCAATTGGTGGATGGCGACTAGCAGTGGAATCCAGTATGTGCATTTCGTCCCATTAGGAACTCGTCATCTAGCTGTACCTGCATTCGGCCCAATCCACCAACGAGAAAGTTCAAATTGAATTAAATAATAACTGATACACCCGTTGCAGAGAAGATGTCCCTCGTAGCCCACTTAGGTACTGGATTCGAGCCTCAGTCAGGACCCAATCATCCTGGGGAATGCATGTACATCCAACTGACGAGTAGTCTTGAAAGGACGAAATGTGCATCCTGGTGGACTCCACTGCTAGTCACCATCCACCAACTGACTTCATATTTCGGCTTATTATGTGAATTTTCTGTAATGTGAACCCATTAAACTCCAAGATACCCAGCAAGCCAGAATGAACAAATCTTGCTATACACAAGTTTCTTTTAATCTGGTGATTGCTAACTGTTGATAATTTGTGATAACTAGCCAGTATCGTTAAAGTACGTAATTATTATTACAAAACAACACAACCTGGTACGTATTATTCATTATCTTGCAGCGGTTGGGGTGTGTGGAAGGACGAATACGAACATCTGCCTCCTCTACAACCGGACTGTGGTGGAAATGATGGCTTACCTAAGAAAGCTAGAAAACCCTGATTTCGAACCTAGGATGCACTTAGGTTTCAGAATCCAAATGGATCAAACGGCGTATGAACCTGCTTTGGTGGTCATTGGAAACTATGGGGACGTAGCTCCTTATGCTGCTCTGTCTGTCTGTTTTCGACATACAACTTTGCATATATGTGTGGCAGTTCAAGTCGCCACACTCCATGTAGCACACAAAGCAAGAGAAGAATGTAGGAGAAATGCAAAATGGAGACAGTAGACAGGGATGTGAGACAAAGGAATAATAGTAACGAAGAACAAAACAGTTCCATTGGAAGTTATAGGTCACAAGGAGTGGATGCACCTGCGCCAGCCAGCCATTGAGAACGATCACTTTGAGCCATATCAACGATTGTCTCCAGACTTCATTGGTTTTTTACCGTCCTGAAGAATATCCAACCAAGAAGTCTACATCTTCCCACATGGCTGGCTTAAACTAACTGTTGTGGATTTCATTGACTGATGAAGTCATGTTTTGGTTTGACCACCGCTAGCTCTTTTCTAGCCTGACCCTATGTCAGCTAACATAACCCGTCGTGCGAGGAAGGCGATGACTAGGCATACGTAACACATGTCTTAACCATCTCAATCGGTGTAACTTCGCAGCCTCGTCGATTGATTTCCTCTCCCACCTACCTAGCACTCGACGGACGCCTAACCTCAATATTACTCACCTTATTACACCGAACACTTCACACGGGAGGGAGACAGAACGCAGGAACCTATGATCGAAGACAGCCAGCCAACATTTTCATGTCTTCCACTCCCAACAGCCACGTCTCACAGCCGTAAAAGAGGACTAAGCTGACTGCTGAGCAGTACACCCGCCCTTTGGTCGATAGCCAGCTAGCCGGATGTCACGTATACGCCATCTCTTGGTGACCACAATGTAACAAGTTTGTATCTTAATGATAATAATATCGTTATGATACAGATAAGTAGGAAAATAAATATTCTTATCTGTTGTAGACATTTCTTCCTATGATCATTATTGATCAATAATAATAATAATAATAATAGTATCAAGCGTCAGTTTAATACTTACGTCATTTCCGAATTGAGTATAGAACAATACTGCTTATAAAAATAATTTTCCAAATTATAGGCGTACATTGTTCTTGTTGAACTAAGAGCTTCATAAATAATTCGAGCTGCTGTTGTTTCTTTACTGCCATACGAACTTTTACGAATCTGTCGGAGCTGTAAGTAAGAAGCATTTGGAAAGCAATATTGTTGTATACATATATATACATATATGGAGAGGTTTTTAAACGTAGTGCTTTGCACAGAAGTGCAGCGGTTCAAGTTACCTTACTCTTATATACCACGCGAAGATAGAAAAAAACAGCGCAAATTAAAACAAAAAATAAAGTTCATGAAAATTACTCAGTTAAATAAAAAACAAAAGTACATACTAATAACCAATCATATTTAGATAGGTCATGTTGTCCAGGGTAGGCGAAGATTGAAGTCTATTGTTTTGACTGTACACATAGTTTAGGTTGTATGTGATTAATCCACAGTGCTTCCATCACCTTCAATAAGCATCCTTGAATTAGAGTTATGTGGTGAAATAATTGTGAAACAGTCATTAATATTGATTTTGTGACCAGACATTAATAAGTGTTTTGCAATGGATGATGATCCTGGATTTCTATTAAGAGATACTCTTATTATTGGTAATAATATTAAATCTATTGAAAACTTTATTACTCTATTTAATCATATTCATCCAAATATTCAAGTGACTTCCGAACTAGAATCGAATAACACACTCGGTTTCCTGGATATTACTATGACTAGGAGAGATGATGGAACGATTCAGCGATCTATTTTTCGTAAACAGACATGGAGTGGACAATATCTTCATTTTACCAGTTTTTTCCTATCCAGTATAAACGTTCCCTAGTGAAATATTTGTTCTCAAGGGCCCGAAAAATATGCACAAGTGACACATTGATGGATGAGTTTCGACATATTGTTATATCTTGCTCTGTCTGCGCCTGAACTTATATGTCTATCTGCTCGTCGTACCTTCCGACTTAGTAAAGCACGCAAATATCAAAAGACAAAGGCTGGACTGTGACTGTGTATTGAAGTGCAACAACGATAAAGAAAGCCATGGTATTTATACATTTTACAACAATATGGACAGCTAACAGCATTTGAAATAATTGACCTTAATAGCCAATAACAAAGTGTGTGAGAAATCATAATATGCCATATGTGCGACATTGACAGTCAGTAACAAAATGTGTGGGAATGATATACCATATATACAAAATTAGCAGTCACTACCAAAATGCGTGAGAATGATAATATACAAAACTAGCAGTCACTACCAAAATGCGTGAGAATGATAACATACCATAAATGCAAGTTTAAACAGTCAATACCAAAATATGTGGGATCCTATCACCTCCCCCCGTAAAGAGTGTAGGACTTGCTTTTTGGATCTATTTGAAAAGGTTTCGGAGCTCTTCTTTGTCGAGTTGACCTTTGCGTGGTACTGGATAGAGCGTGATCTGTGTGTCTGCCACATAACTGTCCTTTTTCATTCGTACGATAATGCAGCAAGAATTTATCCAAAATTTTTCTGTTGTTCCCTCCCCCTTCGCTTTTGCATAAGCACGCTTAAAGGTGTCGACGAAACGTTCAGTCTGTCCATTCGAGTGGGGATGATACGGGGGGCTACGAATATGCTGGATGCCAAACAGTTTGCAGCAACCAAGTTTGTCCTGGAAGACAGAAGCGTGCTTTTGACGACGGCGTTGCAAGAGAGATTGATCAGATACATCTCCGGGAACAACGTTGTGTGGTGAAGACGAAACATTAGAGCATACTGAATTTAATGGTACATTAAAGATATGGAGCTTGTCTAACCAGTCAAGACCAAGCAAATCCAAATCATGGTAGTTTGTAACGTAACATACACCATTGAAGTGATGCTCACCAAACTGAACCTGGCAATTGATCTCACCCACGAGTTTCAGTTTATCTCCAGAGACATTCTTGGCGAAATGCTCGGTCGGCAGAATCTGTGGGCAACCAAGTTTGCGCCACGTAGTTCGGGAAATTACGGTGATATCTGATGCCGTATCCAACTGAAGACGAATACGTTTGCCATTAATATCTAGTGTTATGTACTTACGTTTGCTGGCGACATCGACTTTGGAAGTTGTATAAATAGTCTGTACTCGAGGAGATTGTTTCGGCTCGAAACGACTACTTCTGTTCCTCACCGAAGGATTTTTCTGCGGTGGACAATAACCCTCCTTATGTCCAAAACGGTGACAATTACGGCACTTATGCTTCTTGAAAGGACAGAACTTGACAAAATGCCACGAACCACAGTGCCAGCACACTGAAGGAGGTTTGGCTGAATTCTGAGACTGACGTGCTGTGTGCTTAACGGTGATCGGAGGACTTTTCACTGTGTTAATCGAACCAAATTCAGACGACTGTCGTTTGCACTCCACCATAGCAGTATCGTGCTTCAAGTTGATTAAACGTAGGCATTCTGCTGTCACCATTTGTAAGGTCATTTTCGGGTCTTGTTCCACAAGTGACAGAAGTCGAGTTCGTATGTCAGTATCTTCTGGGTTCTTCAACCCACAAATAAAAATCAAACACTTGAACTGATCTGATGTCATTTCGTGTGGTTTGAACCTTTCACATTCCTTGTTCACTTTGCCAGCGTAAGTCACATAATCATCGGAAGGCATTTTTGTCAACTGAAAACATTGATACCGAATATTAAACATGGATGACTGTTCACCAAAGATTTGTGATAAAACGGTGACTGTCTCATCGAATGATAACTCACGTGGGTTCTTAGGCAGAATGAAGTTAACATATCTGTTGTGCTCAACAGTACCAAGTTTTCTTAGTAACAATCGGACTTTGGCAGCATCATCAAACATGTAGCATTCAATACGGAAAACATCTTCGTAACGATTGAACCATGCATCAAATACGAGACCAGATATTGGATCGTAGTTGAACTCACTGATAGAATTTGAGATGCTTTCATATTTGTCAGAATGAGATGTCGATGGAACTTGAATGGACAGCTTCTGAGTGAGAGCTTCGATTAATTTTAGTTGAGCTGCTTCATTCTGAACTTGCTGCTGCTGCAAGATAGATTTGAGATCGTCCAGAGAGATAGACATTGTAATTGGGTTGTAATTAACACAGTCAAAAATGTTATATAGTTGCGCTGAACAGAATAAAAACTGTCGTCGTTTGCTTGTTATAACTGCGATGAATTAAGTAAATCCCGTCGCCAATTGTTATAACTGCACTGAATTAAGGTAAAACCCCGTCGCCAATTGTTATAACGGTAGGGAATTGAATGAAGACGTTTTCACCTTATTCTGTCTGCGCCTGAACTAATCTGTCTATCTGCTCGTCGTACCTTCCGACTTAGTAAAGCACGCAAATATCAAAAGACAAAGGCTGGACTGTGACTGTGTATTGAAGTGCAACAACGATAAAGAAAGCCATGGTATTTATACATTTTACAACAATATGGACAGCTAACAGCATTTGAAATAATTGACCTTAATAGCCAATAACAAAGTGTGTGAGAAATCATAATATGCCATATGTGCGACATTGACAGTCAGTAACAAAATGTGTGGGAATGATATACCATATATACAAAATTAGCAGTCACTACCAAAATGCGTGAGAATGATAATATACAAAATTAGCAGTCACTACCAAAATGCGTGAGAATGATAACATACCATAAATGCAAGTTTAAACAGTCAATACCAAAATATGTGGGATCCCATCACATATACATTCAGTTTTATTAGCTAATGGTTATATCCAGAGAACTTCATCACTTGTCACAGTAAGGATGGACCACATCTCGAAAAGACAGCTTCTGTACCAAAGAAAGCTATCTTTATTAATCCACCATTCAAGGGCGACCAGATTATGCAGTTGACAGCTAGCTCGAAGACTTCGGTCAGCCATCAAACGTACATTCTACGCCGCATCTCATTTTCTCACTTAATGAACATTTCCGATCCCTGCACCTACGATTAAAGGACGAAATTCTGTGGACTCTGCCTCAAACTGTATCTGCAAGTTAACCTGAAGCTGCGGTGACACTTATGTAGGTAGGATCAATAGAATCTTCCAATGTCGTCTAAAAGAACATATTCCAAAATGGCTACTAAATCATATCGAAAATCCCAACGCGATTAATCTTAATAGAAATCCAGGGACATCATCCATTGCAAAACGCTTAATTATGTCTGGTCACAAAATCAATATTAATGACTGTTTCACAATTATTTCACCACATAACTCTAATTCAAGGATGCTTATTGAAGGTGATGGAAGCACTGTGGATTAATCACATACAACCTAAACTATGTGTACAGTCAAAACAATAGACTTCAATCTTCGCCTACCCTGGACAACATGACCTATCTAAATATGACTGGTCATTAGTATGTACTTTTGTTTTTTATTTAACTGAGTAATTTTCATGAACTTTATTTTATTATTGTTAACCATGTTAGTTATAAAGCGGTTGTAAAGAAACTACGAAATGGCGATATCATCTCGCGAGATTTGTTTTCATAACGCTTTATTCAAATTTATCAAAGGGACTAATTATTTTAAAACAAAAAACACAAATATAATCAGTGCAAACTTAGTGAGAAAAAAATGATTCCAGGGAGACACATAAGGACTTAATGGATTTGACAGATGACAAAAACGACCGAATGAGTCGACGCCGTTGAGAACGATTGTAAGCTATATCACCGATAGTCTAAAGCTATTATAGTTCTCAGGGTCTCGGTGACCAAACATAGACGGTCTACACCTCCACATTCGTGACTAACTCCGATCAAAATTCACAGACTTCATGGATTGACGCCAAGTTTTAGTTTGACTATCCTAAAACACGCTCATAGAGGGGGTGGGGTGAATGATTCATTGTATATTTATGGAAATAGTTGGGAGCTCCTTAGTGTGATTCTGTTTTACTTGGCCAACATTATTTGTACATTGCCAGAGTCTCTGCCTGAGAATTTGGATGGGTATTTGATAACTCGCATCAGACTTGATGTAAAATTGGTGTTGGGCTATCTTTTGAAGGAGTCTCAGTATAGTGTAGAAGTCTGCAATAGAAAAACTTACTACTGTGTTAGACAAAAACTAAGAGCAAAGTTTATAAAACAAAGAATTACAACGCATTTGGCTAAGCATGTTTTTGTGTCACAGCTTAAAAAAGATGGAGTACGGACATACCGATTATAGTGTTAGACAAGGAGGATTGGGTAATAGATGATGCAGTAAATCTTTGATTAAGTTTGTTGTGGAGACACTGCTCACCTAAAAGAACGACTTTTCTAACAGTTGGCCTGATGTCAGGGGTTCTCAAGATACTACGTACTGATGATGTGACTTGAAACCCTTTAGAAAAGGTATAAATGTGAAATAAGAGAGAAGATTTGTAGCTCAGGTGGATGATTTGCAATTAGTAGTGTTCTCTGAGCTGGTTTAGTTGCGGAGCTTTCGTCATTCCCCCCCCTGCTGGAAAACATCTTCAGCGCAATATTTAGCATAAAGTGACATGATTTAAATTTCTTCATGAGTGATATAACTGCGTCTCCTGGTAACCATCTTTACTTATGTAATGACCATTTTCTATTGACTTGGATTTTAAACTTTCTCGTCACATGATCTACTTTTTATTATTTGGTATATTTGGTCTATATTAACGTGTTTGTTGATTGTATACTCATTTGAGTACCAGGCTTCTAGGAATTACCTGACTGCACTTTTGGTGTTTCCTCTGTCTAAGATTTCGACATTATCCCAATCATCAAATTGATGTCCATAATTATCTATATGCATTGATATGAAACAGGAATGTATATCGTGTCTTTTTCACGGCTGATTTGTCTTCCTCGATTCTGATTCGAGGGGGGCACCCAATTTGGCCGATGTAATGCCTGTTACAGTTCATACAATTTATTTTGTAAATGGTATTAATCCAATCTCCTTTTTCTGTTGGAGTTAAGTGGAGAGAGAGGTTAATCACTACATCTCTGTTGATCGAGTCAACATCGCATACGTGCAGTCGAAATGATGCAACGCGCCTATACTGGAGATATGGAAAGTGGCAACAAGAAACAAGGGGAATTTGAAGAGAGAGAGAGAATATAAACATAAGACTGAAACTGTGTGACTAAATTTGATGTGATTATGAGTGGCAATAATTTATGCTCGAACATTATGTCATCCAGCTGTTAATACTGCATCATTACTGTGTGATATTTAAAACATTTTCAAGTGTTGATTTTGTAGGCCAGTCACTAGTCAGGCAGTTAACCTAGCGGGAAGCTGTGACCAGTAGGGTACAGGAGGTTGAAGATGAGGCAGTAACTCATCGAAGAAGACATTGCGAAATGGTCGCGCTATGTCGTGAATTGGCAGAAGTTAGAATTCAAGGACCATTGGATCGGGTCCCAGTGGCTCACTGGTCTACGAGCTCGTCCTGGGTTCGAATTCGATGTGGTGGGTACGTACTGATGAAGAGTCTCAAACTAGGACGAAACAGCTGCCCAATACTCCCAGGTTTTCCAGTGGTTCTCTAACTGATATCAGCTCATGATGAAATCCTCCGTGCAATCATATTTAAAGTACACTCATCTAAAAAATGAGACGGTAAATATGTTGTGCTTCATAGACATATCTAAGCTTCAGGTTACAAAGTTTAGTACTCAAAATCGCAATTTCATGATTTATGTTACTCTATATGCAGCCTATTGTTTAAAGAACGCTTCGTTGTTACCCTTTTACAAGTGGTGCGGGGTAGTTCGGGTGTCCCATATCGTCTCACTCCTTACACACTCACCTCAAAAAATACACCATTAGCCAAAGTATCAGTAAATGCATCACAAAACAAACAAAAACAAATTCACCTTCCCCCTCAAAAAAAGGCAAAACAAACCTGTAAATAACCTGATAACATAATCACCGGGAAGAAAACTAGTACAACTAAAGTCAGCTTCCAATTATAGACGAAACCGATAGTTAGTGAAGCAATCACTAGTACAGTGGACTCAATTAATCGACCCAATGATACACCACACAGTGTATTCACTTTATTTGCATCTGTTGTTAGCATAACCAGCAGAATGCCTGGACTATGCTCTGGTTGATCATGCCATGCTATTTCCTAAGAAGAAAGAAAGAAACACAAAATGAATAAGTTAAACATCATCTAGACAAAGGATAACTAAATTTTAAAAACGCCACAATGTAGTTATCAGAGTACATAATTAACTGAACACCTCTCACATAAATAAAGCTCAGGGCATCCTACCAATTACCTTCAGTCATCATTTAACATTTAGTCAGAGTGCACCATGATGAGGAGCCAGCTATATTGGTGACCACATCTACCAGGGAATAATCTCGTTGACTTAGAATATGCAGATGATATGTAAGATGATGTTACAGGACTGGACTACATTGACTCCCAGTTCAGAAATTCGGAGTGAATTGGTAGAGCACGTTGACCAATTTACTTATTTGAGAAGTACCATTAGCTAACGCCAACGAGTTGATCTCTGACGAAATATCAGTACAGATACAGAAGGCTAGGTTCGCATATGCCAGTTTACGCCGTCTCTGACATAGACATGATATCCGACTATCGACCAAAGGGCGGGTGTACTGCTCATCAGTCTGCTCCGTCCTCTTTTATGGCTGGCTGTGAGACCTGGCCATTGAGAGTGGAAGACATGAAAACACTTGCTAGCTGTCTTTGATCATGGTTGTCTGCGTTCTATCTCCCTCCAGTGTGAAGTATTCGGTGTAATATGATGAGTATTACTGAGGTGAGGCTTCGGTCGAGTGCTAGGGAAGGAGGGAAATCAATCGACGACGCTGTGAAGCTATATCGATTGTGATGGTTAGGACATGTGGTACGCATACCTGCCTGGTCATCGCCTTCCTCGCCCGATGGGCAATGTTAGCCGACATATGGTCAGGTTTGAAAAGGGCCAGTGGTGGTCAAACCAAAACATGGCTTCATCAGCCAATGAAATCCACAACAGTTAGTTTAAGCCAGCCACGTGGGAAGGTGTAGACTTCCTGACTGGTTGGGGTCCTCAGAACGGTAAAAACCAATGTCTGGAAACAATTGGTGATAAGGCTCAAAACCGTTCTCAATGAGTGCCGCAGGTGCATCCACTCCTTGTGACTTACAATTCCCAATGAAACTATATCGTTCTTCGTTATTACTATTTCTTTGTCTCACGCCTCCGTTTACTGTCTCTATTATGCATTTCTTCTACTTTCTTCTTATGTTTTTTGTGCTAGATGGAGGGAATGTGGCGAATTGAACTGCCGCACATCGGTGCAAAGTTCTATGTTGAAAACAGACAGACAGACATCTCAGATCGGACTGATGAAATTCAGTCTGCACTAACACACAGAGAGAGGACTAGACGCATGATGTTGCTTACTCCCTAGTAGCAAATTAATATATCCATTACAGTCTCAAAGGATGTAAATCTGGAGCCCAAATGGCTGAGTGGTAAATTCTTCTTTGACTTCAGCACTGAGTGACGCTGGTACAAATCTCAGGAGGGACATGGATTCCTTCAAGGTTGCAAATACGCCTTGCTGACTAACTGGTGAATGCCAACAGACATGAAATGCAGGTCGAGAGATTCCAAGTGATTGCCTTCGACAATCTAACCTATATATATATATATATATATATATATATATATATATATATATTACATTACCAGGTATTGTTATAACTGAGCTGAACTGAATAAACTGTCTCCCTACTTTGTTATGTCTGCGCCTGTTAACTACTATAACAGTAGTGAACTCGACTGGTACGGTAATACGTCTGTTGGTCCGCTGTACCTACCTTCCGATTCACTGAGCCACGCAAATATCAAAAGACAAAGTCTGACCTGTGACTGTAAGATATTTCATTATACATCTTAAGAAACAACACATGATATTTATACATTTTCTTTACCATAATAAAGTCATCTCACAACCAGGAGAATGGACTGTTCTTATAGGCTGGAAATGTATATTCTAATTGGTTGGTGATCCGACAATGACCAAGGTGAGACAAAAGACGATGAACTGATCACAACGATGAACTAAATCACAATATGCGTGAGAAATGATACATTAACATTGTAACTCCATCACAAGATAAATCACACGATTCCTGAGAAAGGATGATGGGTCGTATCAGGTGTGCTCATGATTTCACTGTTTCCATACCTGTTACTTCCCAATTTTTGGTAAAAGTATGTAATTTTCAGCTATTGATATCGGTAGCCCGAATTTCGCAGGCTGACCATTGATATCGGATGTGAGTCGGCAGGGGATCGAACTGCGGACCATGTGCATGGTCGGCAAGAGTCCTAACATTTATATGAACTGGTTCGTTTTCATGATTCTTGTAACACAGAGCGTACTGAAATGTTAAAATTAAGTATGTTGTTAAATATCTTTGATTATCTCTTTCCTGTAATCTTGCCAGGTCGTCCGAAAACCCTATTGATTTCTAGGAAAATGTGTCGTCTAAGTTAAGGTAATCTGGAATCACTACTCTACCTCTACTTTCATTATGCTAACTCTTTTATTCCACCTATTCTCCTTTCTGTTTTCTTTCACGTTCCCCAGTGGAACATAGGGCTTCAAGCTAGTGGCTTGAAGTCTCTGTAGCAGTCTTTATTTTACAGGATGGGGTTCCTAGCCTCATGCCCAACCTTTCCTCTTTACCAGGATTATTTATGGCTTAACGAGGTAAAGTAGTGGGTCGGCCAGGGATCGAACCCCGGACCATGTGCATGGTCGACGAGCGTCCTAACCGCTATACCACCGACGTACATTCTTCTTTCTAGATCCCTCTTAATCTTTTCTGGACTACTGAAGAAAGACTTTGTTACATTGCAAAGGATATTAAAAACTGTAGGTATGGCGAGTGGTATTTTAACTATTATAACTCAACTCGTTAATATTGTTGAGGACAGGCATTTGAACTAATGTCAAAAGAAAAAGTTGGACAACAATCATCTTGTCAAACTTCGAGCACCCTCTTTATTCAGTACTACCCGCCCCCCCCCCACCCTCCACCAAAGTATCTTTATGCTGGCAGAACTAAGTACAAAAGCTCAACAATATCTGATCTTGCACGTATTTTATACGAAGAAAAGAGTGTTAGGCATGAAATTACTAATTTACAGAAAAGCAGTAGATAGGGAAGTAAACGTCTGTTCTTATTCATCCTATCACCTGGTATGCCGTGGTCACCATTTCTATTGATTTACACGTATACTTAAAAGACATTGTTAGTTATTCTTCGAATTACTGTGAGGTTTATAAAGGAAGTTAGATGGAACATTGTACTATATACTCAGAATTTCACACTATATATATATATATATATATATATATATATATATATATATATATATAATTGTTTCCTTTAATTCCTAGAGGGACACAGGGCTTCAGCCCAACATCTCCATTGCGTTCGGTTCTCTGCCCTCGTTTTCACCTGGCTCCAAGTCTGTCCACATGCTTTCATCTCGTCTTCATATGACCTCCTCCAATTCACCCTAGAATTGACGACCAACTCGCCGCTTCCCTTTCGGGCTCCACTCGAGGGCTTGTCTAATGATGTCACTTGGTGGTTTCCTCAGAGTATGGCCAGTCAATCCACCTCCATTTTTTTCTGCCTATTTGTTGCACTATCGGTTCCTGCTGTGTTGGTTCGCTCATTGCCAAAGATCTCGGTTGCTGATCCTTTCTGGCCAACTGATCTTGAGTATTAAGCGAAGACCGCTGTTAATGAAAGTCAGTATTTTGTTTGAGGTGCTCTTTATGACGCACCAAGTCTCTGATCCGTGTAGTGAGTAGTACTGATTTTACCTTGGAGTTGAAAATCCAGATCTCATTTTTGATGCTGAGTGCTGTTGACCTCCACACAGAATTGAGAGCAATAAAAGCTTGTCGTGCTTTTCCGATTCTCGTCAGTTTCGCCTGTAGTTATTACGATGCTTCCCAGGTCGGTAGGTAAAGGAGGTTGTTTCTTTCAGGTTCCTCCCATTCATGCTGATTGTTGTCTGTTGTTGTTGTTGCTGTTGCTATTGGCCAGGAATCTTCATCACCTCTGTTTTATCTATGTTCAATTGGAACCCTATCTTTGATGTTTCTTCTGTCGCCAACTTGTTGCTTTTCACTTGCATATCTTTCAGTTTGTGGAAAATCAGACATATATCATCGGCGAAGTCCAGACCCTCCAATTTTGTCACTGTGTGGGTCCACTTTATGCCTGTTTCCTTGCTGCCCGACCCGCTGTCTGTCTCATTATCCAATCTACTGCAATCAGGAAAATCATTGGCGATAGTAGGCAGCAAGCTTCTCTAACTCCCGTGTTTACTTCGAAGGATTCCGTGAGTTCCCGTTGTGGATTACTTGGCATGCATTCTTGTCGTACAACTGTTGGATGAGATGTATAATTGTTGGCGGCACCCCGTAGTAGCGAAATAGTAGCCAAATCACCTCTCGATCGACGCTGTCAGCTGAAGGCCTTTTCAAAGTCAATGAAGTTGAGATAGAGAGGTGACTATCAATATATAGTATGAGTTTTAAACGAAATAAAACTGACTGGTTGTCAGTCTAACTCCATTGGACAACATTAACACAGAGTAGACTGACTGGCCTTTTCAAGACAGAATGTTTCACCACTCTACTTGCCAAATGTCAAATCCACTTGAACTTAGTTTCGACTTTTCTTTAACACACACACACTGAGTAAACAAGAGTAAACCTGGTGTTCTCATTGAGCCTCGAACTCAGTATCCATTGTTTCAAACGCCTAAGCGTTATTCTTGTAGACCACTTAGGCCACGAGAACCACATTTTGTGCAACAGGTATCAGTTATAATTTAAATCAATTTTGACTTTCCTATTGAATGATTGTGAACCGAAGTGTTTGACCTCTGTTAACGAGTCCCAAATAGGACAAAATGTGCATTCTAAAAGGATTCCACTGCTAGTCACCATCCACCAAAATTACTTTAAGTTAAATTCTCAGACATCGTTGAAGCATCCATACAAGCAACCGACATTCCAACCTGAGGCTTAGAACTTTCGGCTCAAACAATCAATCAACGACAAAGACCAAATTGAATTAAATATATTCAGGATGTTATTTGTCTGTTTTTTAAGACAAGAATCATAGATTTTTAACAGTTGACCACGGATTGATATCAGTTAGAGAACCATTGAAAACCAGGGAGTACTGGACAGCTGTTTTATCTTAGTCTGGGGGTCATCGGCAGTACGCATCCACTGGTTCTCTAACTGATATCACTCCTTGATTAACTCGTAAAAAACATAACTAATCCTTACAAACTAAACTATAGAAAATTAATCTGATGCTCACTAATGACTTGCAACAGGATGGAGTTTCCTGGAGTTCTAGTGAGAAGTTGTGACCAGTGAGGTCCAATTGGATGTCACGTGTGTGGATGGATGTCCAACCAACGAGAATGAATTGGTAGAACTTAGAATTCACGAGCCATTGAATCGCGTCCCGGTGGCTGAATGGTATACGAGTTAGCTTGCCTTGTAAACAGAAGGTCCTGGGTCCGAATCCCGGTGGGTGCGTACTGCCAATGATTCCCAAACTAGAATGAAACAGCTATCCAGTACTCCAGTGCTGGTTTTCAATGGTTCTTTTTTTTCTTTCACGCTCCCCAGTGGAACATAGGGCTTCAAGCTAGTGGCTTAAAGTTTCTGTAGCAGTCTTTATTTTACAGGATTGCTAGCCTCATTCCCAACCTTTCCTCTTTACCAGCATTATTTCTGACTTAGCGAGGTAAAGGAGTGAGTCGGCCGGGGATCGAAACCCGGACCATGTGCATGGTCGGCGAGCGTCCTAACCGCCATGCCACCGACGCAATGGTTCTCTAACTGGTATCAATCCGTGATCAACTCGTAAAAATATAACTAACCCTTACAAACCAAACTATAGAAAAAAAGAACCATGGCTATTAAAAGGAATAATTAAGAAGTCTTTTTTTAAAAAGTTTTCCTCTGTCCTTCAAATTTTCATTAAGGAATGGACTGATTTCCCAGGATAGAGTCACTGGCACCTATACCCCATCTTCCTTCTATTTCCGGGGTTTAAGACCAGCTAGTATACTAGTGAAGCATAAGTAAACTAGGAGTGGGAGTGAGCAGGGGAAGGATCGGAGAAAGCAAAACAAACCTCCATTAATCTCCATTAAACCTCCATTAATTAATATGGAAATATGATGCACTCAATATAAGGAACAGGATGCAGATTTTATACACTCATTTCAGTCAGCCAGTCAGTTAGTGTTTCTATATAGTTCAGAGACCGGTCGCACGCGTCACTGAAAGCATTTTGAAAAGGCTATTTGTAGATTTTCATCAACATCTCCTTTCGCTGGCTCATGGCCGCCCAGCTAGAAACGATCAGGAGGTTTGCCAGCCAGTGAATCCATCAAGAGCCTGTTTTAACCAACATACATGTCGAAGAAAATGAAGATGGATTAGATATCCGTTAGCGAGGGTGGGGGGGACCATTGAGTGATGTCATACGCCAGACTGTCGAGTCAAGGTCAAATTATGAAGTATGCCCCTAAAATGACATGGGGTATCCCGTATATCCTATCACAGTAGGAATTGAAAGTTTATGGAAAATGCTGAAGCCAACAAAAAAGGACTGGATTTCAGAGAACAAGTTAAGATGGCGATGTCCTGTTGAAGCTCGATGTTCCAATCAGAAACCAAGGAAATAATACGAGACTGGGAAAGCTGCCCAGATCGCCAACGAGATGAAAAGATACGGAATACAAGTGCTGGGAATATGTGAGAGCAGATGGAATGGGAGTGGACTCACCAAATTGTCAACAGGTGAGTCAGTGATCTACTCCGGTCACCCAGAAGATAACCACACGCACACCGAGGGCGTGGCTATCATGATGTCACCAACGGCAACGAAAGCCCTGATACAATGGGAGGCGATTTCGTCCAGGATAATGACCGCCAGGTTCAACTCCAAAGGAAGGAAAGTGTCAATCATACAATGTTATGCACCCACAAACAACGCAGACCTCGAGAAGAAAGAAGAATTCTACAGGCAACTACAGGCAACAATGGACAATACTCCAGCTGGCGACATGAAAATACTAATGGGAGACATGAACGCCAAACTGGGACCAGACAATACGGGAAGGGAACTCATCATGGGTAGAGAAGCTCTAGGAGAAATGAATGAAAACGGAGAACTCTTCGCCGACTTCTGCGCCTTCAACGAACTGGTGATTGGTGGCAGTGTATACAAGCACAAAGATATCCACAAGGCTACATGGGTGTCACCAGACGGGCAAACCAAAAACCAAATCGACTTCATCTCAATCTCAAGGAAGTGGAGGCGCAGCCTACTGGACACAAAAGCAAGAAGAGGAGCAGACGTTGGCTCAGACCACTATCTCGTACAAGGGACAATCCAAATCAAATTAAAAGCTTTCAGGGAATCAGGAGCTGCAGATAGACCACAAGCCAAGTTCAACACTCAAAAGCTGAAGGACCAGGCTACAAAGGACATCTTCATTGCAAGCATAAAGGACAAAGCCGAGACACAAATCAACACTAGCGAAGAGGTCGGCGTTGAAAAGCACTGGAACAACTTGAAAACGGTGTGGAGCCAAACCTGCATAGAAATTCTAGGCAGAAAAAAGAGACAGGACAAACAGTGGCTCACTACGGACACTTGGAAACTAATAGAAGAGAGAAGGACAGTGAAGCAAAAGATTATCCAGTGCACGACGAGCAACAAAAACAGGAGCTGAATGCAAGCTACAATACACTGAACAAAAGAGTGAAGAAAAGTGCCAGGGAAGACAAAAGAAAATATTATGAAACCATGGCAAACGAAGCAGAACAAGCTGCAGGCAAAGGAGACCTCGCCACACTCTACCAAACAACTAGGAACCTTTCGGGCAAACGTTCGACACAGATTAAGCCAATAAAGGACGACAATGGAAAGTCAATCACCAAAGAGGTGGAACAGAGAAAGCACTGGGTTGAACACTTCAAAAGACTTCTAAATCGTCCGCCACCTACAACACGTCCAGCAATACCAACAACGGAAGCAGAACTACCAGTGAACACTGACCCCCCGACGAAATCAGAAGTCCTGAATGCAATCAAGATGCTTAAAACTGGGAAAACACCGGGACCAGATGGAATCCCAGCAGAGGCTTTGAAAATAGACCCAGAGACAACAGCGGACTTGATGACACCACTACTGGAGAAGGTGTGGAAAGAGGGCAAAGTACCCGAGGATTGGAAGAACAGTTACTTATTCAAACTTCCAAAGAAAGGAGACTTAAGTCAATGTAAAAACTGGCGTGGAATTATGCTTCTGTCCATTCCAAGCAAGATACTAAGTCGCATCATCCTGGAGAGAATCAAACAAGCCCTAGATGAAAAACTTCGTCCGGAACAGGCTGGATTCAGGAGAAACAAATCATGTATTGATCAAATCGCCACTCTACGGATCATCATTGAACAAAGCTTGGAATGGCAGTCACCTCTCTATCTCAACTTCATCGACTTTGAAAAGGCCTTCGACAGCGTCGATCGAGAGGTCATTTGGAAACTACTTCGCTACTACGGGGTCCCATCGACAATTATACACCTCATCCAACAGTTATACGACAATGCTGCATGCCAAGTAATCCACAACGGGAAACTTACGGAAGCCTTCGAAGTGAGGACGGGAGTGAGGCAAGGCTGTCTACTATCACCAATGATCTTCCTGATTGCAATTGATTGGATAATGCGACAGACAACGGCAACCAACGAGGGAACAGGCATAAAATGGACTGACACAAAAGACTTGGAGGATCTGGATTTCGCCGATGATATATGTCTGATTTCCCATAAACTGGAAGATATGCAAGTGAAAAGTAACAAGTTGGCAGAAGAAGCATCAAAGATAGGACTTCACGTGAACATAGATAAAACAGAGATAATGAAGATTCCTAGCCAACATCAACAACACCAACAGACCACAATAAGCATAAATGGGAAGAACCTGAAAGAAACAACCTCCTTCACCTACCTGGGAAGCATCGTCTCAACTACAGGCGGAACTGACGAGGACATCAAAGCCAGAATCGGAAAAGCAAGACAAGCTTTCATTACTCTCAAATCTGTGTGGAGGTCAACAGCAATCAGCATCAAAAATAAGATCCGGATTTTCAACTCCAATGTGAAGTCAGTGCTACTATACGGATCAGAGACTTGGCGAGTCATAAAGAGCATCTCAAACAAACTTCAAACCTTCATTAACAACTGTCTCCGCTCAATACTCAAGATCAGATGGCCAGAAAAGATCAGCAACAGGGATCTCTGGGAGCGAACCAATCAGGAACCGATTGTGAAACAAATAGGCAGAAAGAAATGGAGATGGATTGGCCATACGCTGAGGAAACCATCAAGTGACATCACTAGACAAGCCCTCGAGTGGAACCCGAAAGGGAGGCGGCGAGTTGGTCGTCCAAGGGTGACTTGGAGGAGGTCATGCGAGGAGGAGATGAAAGCATGTGGACAGACCTGGAGCAGGTTGAAAAAGTTGTCAGAAAACCGAAGTCAATGGAGGTGCGCAGCTGAAGCCCTATGTTCCTCTAGGAACTAAAGGATACAATAATAATAATAATAATAATAAATTTTTAAATTCATTACGGGATTATAACACAAAACACCATGTGGTTTCTGTCATTACGATGAATTCACAACATACCAAATACTATGGAGTTAATATTAAGATAAAAATGCAAATGAACCTACTTGTTTCAACATAGATGCAAACAGATTCTCACGTAAACGTCTGGTTAACTTTTGACCCGAAATACCAAGAAAATAACCCTAGACGAATACAAATATATACACACACACAGAAAGTGAATTATGGTAGTTTTTATATTATATTCTGTGTTAAAATTAAAACATGATATATATGTGAACAATAATGGTTTTCAATTGCATCTTTCTAAGGTTTTACTCTAGTGTTGTCAACGTTCAGAAGAGGCAAAGTAAAATAGATAAGAAGCTGTATCTCTGTATAATTGGATAAATACTGGTCACCAGGCAAAAAGAGAGAGAGAAGACACACAGTGTTACACAGTATTATTAACTGATGACCACGTTTCAAGCACAAACTATTACCATTCATAATCATATCAAGGCACTACTCACACAACTTTTTCCCTTCATTTATATACATGTGTGGAATTGACCAGATATTTGAATAAAAATCAATATAAGATAAAGTACATTCAGTTAGGAAACAAGGTATGCCTCATATACGCTATCCTTAGATTCCAAGGCAAAATGTATAGACAAACAGGAGGTGTAGCAATGAGATGGATCACCAATATCGCCTATTGCAGCGGATGTACTTATGGACAGCTGGGAAAATATTACTCTTAATACATTTAATCCTACTTCAAAAATACGGTGGAGACATGTGGATGACACCTTTACTCACAGTGTTAAAAACAAAAACATATCTCTAGCTTTTTGACACATATAAACTCACTGGTAGAGGGAATAAAATTCACATTTGAATCGGAAAATAAACAAGGAGAATTAGCTGTGTCAGATTGTAAAATAAAACGAATAGAAGAAGATAAACTACACACTAGCGTTTATAAAAACCAACGCATTCCCTTAATAGATATTTAGACTTTAATTCATCTCATCCGTTAACTGTTAAGGTAGGCTTACTTAAGTGCTTAACAAGCCGAGCAGTAGCACTAAGTAGCACAAGAAAAAACCTAAATGATGAAATAAAACAGATAGAAGAGGCGTTGGTTTTAAGTAACTATCCCATTGAAATTCATTAGAAAGATCGAAAAAGGCCAAAAGCAAAGCAAAAACAATTGTGAAATTAGTAGTGATAACATAAATAAGAGTGAATATAAAGCATCCACTGTTATACCATAATAAGGACGGGACATCTGAGACACTCTCTACGTAGGATTCTTAATAAAGCAGGAATTAGGGTGGCATTTAAACCTACAAACTCATTCAGACCGGACAGGCTCTGTAGGCTAAAAGACTCGGTAGACCCAATTAAACAAAATAATATCATTTACAAAATACCTTGCAATGACTGTGAGTTAAGTCAACTACATTGGTCAAACTAGTTGATCGGGGGTAGTCAGATTGTCTGAACATAAGAATTTGGCTGAGGTAAGAATGGTTGACCCCGAGGAGATAAGTAATTTAGAAAAAAGTTCAGCAACTGCACTGCATGCATTAACACACAATAACACAGTAGGGTGGGAGAGGGTCACAATTCTAAGAAGTAATTTATGTACGTAGAGAATGAGAGAGATTGATTACTGAATCCTGCCTCCTTCATTGAGTCTACACCCAACACGACACATGCAACAGAAATGACTCAATGCAAATACCAGAAATACCACCATTCAGTCAAATCAGAGGAGGATAATAAATAATCTCAAAATTCTATTTCAATTCACCTACATCATAACATTCTAACAATTTACTTATTTTGAATATAAAAACACTCGTCTAATTTTCCATCTGATTGTATTTGATTGATAACACTAATATAATTATATCCGAATGTACTTTATCTTATATTGATTTTATTCAGATGTCTAATCATCACTTTTTTCACTCATGTATATATAAATGAAGCGAAAAAGTTGTGAGAGTGAGCTGCTTGATATGATTATGAGCAATAATTTGTACTCGAAACGTCATCAGTTTATATTGCTGTGAAACACTGTCTGACACTTTGTCAAAATAAAATCTTATCTATAATGGAGTTACACTCTACCACAGTGCCCAATTTTTATACTTTTATCAAGACAGCAGAAGCACTTTCACACCCTATCAAATCTTTCAAACGTGATTCGAACTTTTAGTTCACACATAACCTCGAAGGCATGTGAATTCGAAAGAACAATCCTAGTCTTTTAATTCGATTTGGACTTTCTCGTTGATTGATTGACCCGAAGTGTTCGGCCTCTGATACTCATTGAAGAAGATGTAGCCTTCGTGCTGTCTAGTGTATAAAGTTTTGGCGTTTCAAACGGTTGGTACTGGGTTCAAGCCTCAGTGGGAACACCACCACTGACTCACCGAGGAATACAGGTACATCAAGATGACGAGTCGCACATAGGACGCAATGTGCATTCTCGTGGATTCAATGGCTGGTCACCACTCACCTAATAAATCCTACTCTTCGTATACAAAAGAGGAATGTTCTGCTTTCGTCTCTCTTTCTTTGCCTAAGCAAATCTAATGAATTAATTAAAACTTCCCACTCTTTCTTATTTTTCATTTCTTTCGAGTTTTATGATATTTATTTAAACTCCACTTATCTAATATCTTGTCTGTCTGTCTCTTTTCGACATACAACTTTCCACGACGTGCGGCAGTTCAAGTAACCATACTCCCCCATGTACCACACAAAGCAAGAAAAGAAAGTAGAAGAAATGCACATAAGAGACAGTAAACAGAGGTGTTAGACAAACGAAATAGTAATAACGAAGAACAATATAGTTTCATTGGAAGTTATAGGTCACAAGGAGTGGATGCACCCGCGCCAGCCAGCCATTGAGAACGATCACTTTGAGCCATATCAACGATTGTCTCCAGACTTCATTGGTTTTTACCGTCCTGAAGAATCCAACCAGGAAGTCTACATCTTCCTACGTGGCTGACGTAAAGTAACTGATGTGGATTTCATTGACTGGTGCCATGTTTTGGTTTGACCGCCGCTGGCTCTTTTCAAGCCTGACCCTATGTCAGCTAACATTGGCCATCGGGCGAGGATGGCGATGACTAGGCATCCGCAACACATGTCTTCACCGTCTCAGTCGATGTAGCTTCACAGCCTCGTCGATTGATTTCCCCTCCCTCCTTAGCACTCGACCAAAGTGATAGGATCCCACATATTTTGGTAGTGACTGTTTAATTTTGTATATTGTCATTCTCACGCATTTTGGTAGTGACTGCTAATTTTGTATATATGGTATATCATTCCCACACATTTTGTTACTGACTGTCAATGTCACACATATGGCATATTATGATTTCTCACACACTTTGTTATTGGCTATTAAGGTCAATTATTTCAAATGCTGTTAGCTGTCCATATTGTTGTAAAATGTATAAATACCATGGCTTTCTTTATCGTTGTTGCACTTCAATACACAGTCACAGTCCAGCCTTTGTCTTTTGATATTTGCGTGCTTTACTAAGTCGGAAGGTACGACGAGCAGATAGACAGATTAGTTCAGGCGCAGACAGAATAAGGTGAAAACGTCTTCATTCAATACCCTACCGTTATAACAATGGCGACGGGGTTTTACCTTAATTCAGTGCAGTTACAACAATTGGCGACGTGGATTTACTTAATTCATCGCAGTTATAACAAGCAAACGACGACAGTTTTTATTCTGTTCAGCGCAACTATATAACATTTTTGACTGTATTAATTACAACCCAATTACAATGTCTATCTCTCTGGACGATCTCAAATCTATCTTGCAGCAGCAGCAAGTTCAGAATGAAGCAGCTCAACTAAAATTAATCGAAGCTCTCACTCAGAAGCTGTCCATTCAAGTTCCTTCGACATCTCATTCTGACAAATATGAAAGCATCTCAAATTCTATCAGTGAGTTCAACTACGATCCAATATCTGGTCTCGTGTTTGATGCATGGTTCAATCGTTACGAAGACGTTTTCCGTATTGAATGCTACATGTTTGATGATGCTGCCAAAGTCCGATTGTTACTAAGAAAACTTGGTACTGTTGAGCACAACAGATATGTTAACTTCATTCTGCCTAAGAACCCACGTGAGTTATCATTCGATGAGACAGTCACCGTTTTATCACAAATCTTTGGTGAACAGTCATCCATGTTTAATATTCGGTATCAATGTTTTCAGTTGACAAAAATGCCTTCCGATGATTATGTGACTTACGCTGGCAAAGTGAACAAGGAATGTGAAAGGTTCAAGCCACACGAAATGACATCCGATCAGTTCAAGTGTTTGATTTTTATTTGTGGGTTGAAGAACCCAGAAGATACTGACATACGAACTCGACTTCTGTCACTTGTGGAACAAGACCCGAAAATGACCTTACAAATGGTGACAGCAGAATGCCTACGTTTAATCAACTTGAAGCACGATACTGCTATGGTGGAGTGCAAACGACAGTCGTCTGAATTTGGTTCGATTAACACAGTGAAAAGTCCTCCGATCACTGTTAAGCACACAGCACGTCAGTCGCAGAATTCAGCCAAACCTCCTTCAGTGTGCTGGCACTGTGGTTCGTGGCATTTTGTCAAGTTCTGTCCTTTCAAGAAGCATAAGTGCCGTAATTGTCACCGTTTTGGACATAAGGAGGGTTACTGTCCACCGCAGAAAAATCCTTCGGTGAGGAACAGAAGTAGTCGTTTCGAGCCGAAACAATCTCCTCGAGTACAGACTATTTATACAACTTCCAAAGTCGATGTCGCCAGCAAACGTAAGTACATAACACTAGATATTAATGGCAAACGTATTCGTCTTCAGTTGGATACGGCATCAGATATCACCGTAATTTCCCGAACTACGTGGCGCAAACTTGGTTGCCCACAGATTCTGCCGACCGAGCATTTCGCCAAGAATGTCTCTGGAGATAAACTGAAACTCGTGGGTGAGATCAATTGCCAGGTTCAGTTTGGTGAGCATCACTTCAATGGTGTATGTTACGTTACAAACTACCATGATTTGGATTTGCTTGGTCTTGACTGGTTAGACAAGCTCCATATCTTTAATGTACCATTAAATTCAGTATGCTCTAATGTTTCGTCTTCACCACACAACGTTGTTCCCGG